GATCTCGGGCGACTTGGCGGGCGATGTCAGCTCGGGCCAGGGCATCACGAGCATAAGCAGTCGATGAGGAGGCGTCAGATTGGAGCATGGTGTCCATGGGCAAAGGCGGGTCATAACCAAACAGTAGGTAAAAAGGTGAAAATTCAGCTGTATCATGATGTGAACTGTTGTATGCGAAGGTAACGAAAGGTAAGTGGATGTCCCAATCTTTGTGATCCTTGGAGACGTACATCGCTAACATATTCGTCAGGATACGGTTGAGGCGTTCCGTGAGGCCGTTGGTTTGCGGATGGTACGCTGTAGTGAACTTGTGGTGGGTAGAGCAGGATCGCAGGAGCTCGTCGACTACTTTAGATAGAAAACAGCTGCCGCGGTCGGTGATCAACTGACGAGGAGCACCATGACGCAGAATGATGTCATGAAGAAGGAAATCGGCTACATCAGTAGCGCAGCTGGTGGGGATGGCGCGTGTAACGGCATACCGCGTTGCGTAGTCGGTAGCAATAGCAATCCACTTATTACCGGTGGCCGACACGGGAAAAGGTCCTAGAAGATCGAGGCCGACTCGGAAAAAATGGCTCATCTGGTACTTCAATGGGCTGGAGGGTACCAGCAGGTCTCAGAGCAGGTGTCTTGCGGCGCTGGCAGAGGTCGCATGCCGCAACGTACTGTCGCACAGAACGGTAGAGGCCAGGCCAAAAGAATCGGCGGGGAATGCGGTCATACGTGCCTGACACCCCTAGGTGTCCAGCAGAGGGGGCATCATGGAGCTGGGCCAAAACGTCTGAGCGAAGATGCACAGGAACAACGAGTAAAAGCTCAGCACCATCAAGGTGGGCGTTGTAGCGGTGCAAGATGTCGTTGTGAAGAACCAACAGTTGTAAGGAGTGGTCAGGGTGGGGAGAGTGCAGACCATTGATAATAGCACGCAAAGAGGGGTCGCGGCGTTGTTCAGCAGCTATGTCGGTGAAGTCGGTAATTGAAAGAACAAGGGCTTCTTGTTCATCTTCCCTCGTGTCAGGGGGATCGACTGGGTAACGGGCAAGCAGTCGGCATCCTTGTGAAGTTGTCCGGATTTATAGGATACGGAAAAAGTGTACTCTTGTAAGCGCAGCGCCCAGCGACCAAGGCGTCCCGTAGGGTCCTTGAGTGAGGAGAGCCAGCAAAGCGCATGGTGGTCCGTAATAACTGAGAATGGTCGGCCATACAGGTACGGTCGGAATTTCGCAATGGCCCAGACGAGAGCTAAGCACTCGCATTCTGTGATGGAATAATTTTGTTCCGAGCGCGACAACAGGCGGCTTGCATACGCGACGACGCAGTGCATGCCTTGTTGCTGCTGCGCCAGCACTGCGCCTATGCCGTAGCCACTGGCGTCAGTACGAAGCTCCGTGGCGGCAGATGGGTCGAAGTGTGCTAGGACTGGTGGATTAGTGAGAATGTCATTGAGCGATGAGAAGGCGTTTGCTTGCTGTTGGCCCCAGGTGAATGCGACATCCGTTTTGAGGAGGCAGGTTAGAGGACGGGCTACTTCAGCAAACTTCTCGACAAAACGACGGAAATAGGAGCACAGTCCCAGAAAACTTCGGACGTTCTTGGCTGAGCGGGGTGTGGGGAAGTCGCGAACTGTTCGGACTTTCGCAGGATCTGGTTGAACGCCCGCAGCGTTAACAAGATGGCCGAGTACGCAAATTTGGCGTTGCTCAAAGCGGCATTTGGACGAGTTAAGTTGCAAGTTGGCACGTCGAAGAACATCAAGCACTGTGGACAGACGGGTAAGATGGTCGTCGAAAGTAGTCGAAAAAACAATAACGTCGTCAAGATAGCAGAGGCAGATGGTCCACTTCATGCCTCGAAGGAGAGAGTCCATCATCCGCTCAAATGTCGCGGGGGCATTGCATAATCCAAAAGGCATCATCTTGAACTGATAAAGTCCATCAGGAGTCACGAAGGCCGTCTTCTCTCTGTCTTTGTCGTCCACAGCGATCTGCCAGTAGCCTGAGCGAAGGTCTATTGAAGAGAAATATTTGGCACCGTGCAAACAATCGAGTGCATCATCTATGCGCGGTAGGGGATAGACATCTTTCTTGGTAATATGGTTGAGATGGAGGTAATCAACACAGAATCTCCAGCTATTGTCCTTCTTTTTAACAAGTACAACGGTTGAGGACCAGGGACTAGATGAGGGTTCGATTATGCCCTTATCAAGCATTTTATCGACTTCTCATTGTATAATAGCACGCTCCGGGGCTGACACACGGTAGGGTCGTCGGCGAATGGGTCGAGCGTCACCGGTGTCAATGCGATGGGTTACCACGGATGTCTGGCCCAAATTACGGTCGCCGAAGTCAAAGATGTCCTGATAAGAAGCAAGCACCCGGCAGAAAGCAGAGACTTGTTCAGAGGTGAGCTTGTCAGATAGCATTGGCTTGAAAAGGTCGAAACAGGAACGTGACGAGAGCGACGTTGATGAAAAATCGGGTGGTGAATGGGTGGTTAGGGCGAAAACTGTGTGGTCGACCAGTGGTGTCAGATACGCAACTGACATGCCGCAAGGAATAACTTGCGCTGAGAAGCCGAAATCGAGGAGGGGAAATGAAGTTCGTTTGTCCTTAACGGTAACCACCGTGTTGGGGAGTGCAACATTGCGTGTCATGGCCACGTCAGAAATTGGGGCCGCAACATAATCACCATCGGGTACTGGAGGATATGGCGAGAGTTGGACTTGGACTGCGGCTTGCGGCGGAAGTCTGAGGAAATCAACAGAGCGTAGACGAGGTGGGCTGGTAGAGACGGTCTCTGAGAAGGATGGTAGTTCGAGCCGAAGGAGACCTTTGGAACAGTCAATGAGCGCAGCGTTTGAAGTCAGAAAGTCGAGTCCAAGGATGAGGTCATGAGGGCAATTTTCCAGTACAGCGAACAGAACTGAAGTTTGATGCTCAGAAATCGTTAATCGGGCAGTGCACATTCCAAGCACAGCAGGAGTACTCCCATCCGCTGTACGAACGGTAGGTGCAATCGCAGGCGTCAGAACTTTTTGGAGGCGGCGGCGGAGGTCTGAGCTCATCACAGATATTTGTGCACCGGTATCAATAAGAGCAGTTACAGGTAAACCATCAACCAAAATTGTAAGAAGGTTGCACCGCTGGTCGGGAGTAATCAAAGGATTTGCAGTCCGAGTCGTGTATGCAGCGTCACCTCCGGGGGCTGCACCGGCTAGTTTTCCGAGCGACGGTCATAGGGAGACTGAGGACGGCGGGGTTGGGGCGAGCGGGACTGACGACGCACGGGCGATGGCGAGCGGCTGGTCCGACGTTCTGGATTATGCTCTGCACCTGTCTCAGCATGGTAGGACGGGGCATAAGGTGCATGTTCAGAGCGAGGCCGCCAATCATAGAAGCTCGGTCGAGGTGATGAGGTCCAACGGCTGCGGCAATGGCGAGCGATTTGTCCTATCCGATGGCACGTGAAAGATATGGGCCGATTATCATGAGTGCGCCATTCAGCTGGGTTTCGTCGTGGCGCAAACGTGCGGTTCGGAGTGGTAGCCGCAACGACTGAAGCCGAGCTGGAAGTAGCAGGGGCATTTTGATGAGGTGGCGAAATGCCCATATTCGCGATCTCTTGGCGAACCACGGTCTGTATCATTGAAACAGCATCGAGGTTGTGTCCTGGCGCGCTGACGCTAGACATAGCGGGAGCCATAGCCTCGAGTTCCCGACGGACTATTCTGGTGACGTTTTCTGGCGCTGGTGGTTGATGTAGTGTCGGCAAATCTTCGCAAGAGGACGTAGCCGCCGTGTTGGGAAGGCAGTCAAATCGGTGAACTATGCGCCTACTTTTTGCCTGTTCGAAGCGACGACATGCTTCGATGACCGACTCCACTGTCGAGCAGTCCTTGCACAGGAGAAAATTGAAGGCGTCATCGGCAATTCCTTTCAGGATGTGTCCGACTTTGTCCTCGTCGAGCATGTCCTTGTCGACCTTGCAGCACAAAGCCAACACGTCCTGGATGTACGCGATGTACGGCTCTGTGGATGTCTGGGCCCGAGTCGCAAGCTTTTTTTTTTTGCGGCCACTTGACGTCCGATGGGTTTCCCAAATAGATAGCGCAATTTCTGCTTACAGATGTCCCAGCTAGTCAACTCTTCTTGATGTGTCTCGTACCACAGTTTTGCCGTGCCGTGCAAGTAGAAGATGATGTTCGCCAACATGAGCGTCGGATCCCAATGGTCGCTGCTGCTGACGCGCTCATATAGAACCAGCCAGTCATCGACGTCTATGCCACTTGTGCCGTTGAATGGGCCTGGGTCACGAGGTTGCACCACAACGATCGGCTGCGGGGCTGACGGATCTTGTTGACATTGAGTATCCTGGTCAGTCATCGTGGTAGCTGCAATGCGCCGTCCGCTGCGAAAATCCAGCTCGTTGGGCTGTATAGCGAGTGGTACCCCGCACCTTCCACCAATGATGTTACGGGGAATAAAGTATACACTGGCGAGCAAATGCGTACTGGCGAATATAGTGGCGAGCTAATGCGTACAACGCTGCTGCAGTCCGAGCACGGTCACGTTCAGCACTTCGTCGTCATCATCCTCAGGCATCTACTTAGCCCGTAACATAATATCATGAAGCCATGATATTATGGGTATTGTACATAAGTAGTTCAGTAAAGCAAGCAATCTTTGGGTAACAACAAATGTGTGGACTGCAGATGAAAGATGGTAACACCTCCACAATAAAGCTCTTTATGATTGCCAGACATCATTGAAGAGATGGCTGTCCTTAAAATACGTAGAAATAGAGAGTGGCATTCTATGTTCAAATTTTACAAAAAGATTTACGTTTATACAACAGCCTTGCAATGACGCTGCATGCCGTAAAAATTGCACCTATTGCCAGTTATCTTTTGTGGCACACTAGATGAACAAAATACCAGAACTGAGAATATGAACTAGCATGGCCCAGGTGTCGAGTGTAGAGCTAATCATTATACTCACCGAGAACATAAGATGGCTTCTCAAATGAGGGTGTGTTGTCGTCAATGTCTTCGACTTTTATGTCAACCAAGAGCTGGGTCTTGTCGTCAGGATTGTAAGTGGCATCTACTTCTTCGAGTCGCTTTGATGGCATGCTAACCTTCACTGTAAGAAGATAACGGTCTTTCTGTTCACGATCAACCCTCTTTTTTGTCAATATTTCCCCCTCATTGTTGCCTGTCCGCTGAATGGTGAAGATGTTCTCCATGTTACCACCTGCAAAATCGTTTGTTAAAGGTACAAATTAAATTGACACATAATCGTTTTGACAACAACAAATAGATGAATGCCCCAAACTATACACCTAAGACCAGTTCATCTAATAAAAAAGTTGTATACTCTGGGGTGCTTTTGATTTCCAGCACGAAATGAAACCACCAGCTAGAGCAAATGTAGATTTCCTTTTTTGCACAGTTAACTAAGAGTATTTTAATGCTCATTCAGATAAAGAAAAGCATTTATTAACTAACTACTTATTTGAGTAATGCTACTGGGAGTATTATGAGTGCTTAATTCATAAAACTTTGTTTTAAAGTCACACAAGCTTTCCTTCTGGCCCTGCAACACTTTTTTAAGTACTCATTAAAAGGCTTGATTAAAGGTGCTTATTGCTTCATGAATCGACAGACAAAAATGCTGAGAATCCATCAAGTATGAGCAGAGATACAGGGGTTTGTTGCAAGCTTCAAGTGCTTCTTCTCTCCTTTCATACCAGACAGTGCACTGAAAGCTATGCAGAAGGGAATGACAAGAAGACAAGAAGGTAAACTGACTTTTCAGTGGGCATGATGACCTTTAGCACTTGCTTTCTATTTTTTTTGAACGCGTGGATTGCTTTTATTACAACTGTGGCAGCCCCGTCGTGGTGGTCTAGTGGCTAAGGAACTCGGCTGCTCACCCGCAGGTCGCGGGATTAAACCTCGGCTGCGGTGGCTGCATTTTTGATGGAGGCGAAAACGCTGTAGGCCTGTGTGCTGAGATTTGGGTGCACGTTAAAAAACCCCAGCTGGTCAAATTTTCCAAAGCCCTCCCCCACGGCGTCTCTCATAATCATATGGTGGTTTTGCGATGTTAAGCCTTACATATCAATCAAGCAATCAATCAAACACGTGCATGGGCACTTCCCATGTCGCCATGGTAACTATGCAGCTCATGATGCTCAAAGCCGCCAATGGCCGTGGACGTTGGGCTTATGGTGCCATCATTTGGGTTTATGGCATCATACCATATTTTCCCAATTGTAGGTTGACCCATTTTATCTAAATTCGAGATCCGAAGTTGGGGAGAGATCGACTTACAATCAAAACTAAAACTAGAGCCCCCCCCCCTCCTCCCCTTGAGAAATTGTAAGGCGTCGACCTAAGTACGAATCAGCTTATAATCGTGTAAATACGATATGTCAAAAGAAGAGGGAATGATGTCTAGCTGATTTTGACAATTCCTTGTAAATTTTAGGCCATGTGCCGCACTATAATGTTTGGCTCATGTGTTTTTCAGGAGCCTTGTCTAGCGATTAGCAGTGTTTTCTGGCAATGTGAAAAAAGAATTGAAGGGCTCTTTCAGGAGTAGAAACACTTATGTATATAGAAGGCAGCAAATCTAAAGCTAGAAAATGGGCTTCTCATAAAACATAATCAAAAGTTCATCCCCCATTCTAATCAGCTACATCAATTATTTACTAAAAGGTGACTTTTCTTAAAAAAGATATGCTGGCACAGCTAGTTGAGTGCCATTGCAAGTCGCAACATCCTGCAATATAAAACACAATATGCAAATTAAGCCCTAAGCTTGGCATTTAAGGGCATTGTAACAATGCATTAGGCAAAAAATATGCTCCTTATGCCATGTCCTAAATGTGCTTTTAGTTTTCAGAGTCATCACTTTATTTGCAGCTTTCACCTTTCAACAGTGTGCCTTTTGACGGTGCATTATCTCAGTGCCTATACAGACAACACCAAAGCGAAACTGCAAGGGTGGCTTCCTTGGAGAAAAGTATGAGAGCAGAGAGGAGGGGCACTTACCACCCTTCTATTACACTTCTAGTAAATCTGCTAAGCGCACCCTCTCCCTACTTAGTTAAAACAATTATCCAACAAAATAATAGGATTTTCATAGCACTTAAGAAGAGATGCGATTTGCAAAAATAAGTTGCGTTAATCTGTAGCCTAGAAGAATAAAGTTTTGCTGTATATATAAGCTTTTATGTTTAATTCAAATATGTAATTAGTTTTATAGTAAGTTGGATAGCTTTTGTTTTGTGCCATGACAATGTGTAATGTAGACTTCGTTTCGGACAAACTTTTTATGCCACTAAACCCTTATGATTCTGAGCCATTATTGATTCATATTGCTCTAAATTAAATGTAGAATGCAAGTAACTGTCAAGAAAGTGTGTATAAAACATTTTGATAGTCAATAAAAATTCTAATGTGAGAATTCTTAGAATCTTCAGCCCATCCAAATTGCTTACCTTGGGTTTGTAATAATAACAAAAAAGATATCAAGTTTTAAAGGAGATACTTGCACCCTTCACATGTTAAGAAATATGCAGGAAAATTTTATCTTGATCAAGCTACCGGATGTTCAAAAAGCATGATTTCCAAACTCAAAACGTTGTCTAGATATAAATCGTGAGAGAAATGCATTTTGAAAGGTGTAAGTGAAAGCTCATTTCTACAGAAAAGATACGGCTTTTTAAGATGATTTTTTCCATCATGAGAGCTTGGCAATCATGGTCATTTTGAGCACGTGGCTTTAGTAAACCCCTCATGCGAAATGTAATGGCAAGCAGCCAGGTGACAATTTCCAGGGGACTCTAGACAATGAGCACTTTTTAGTTTCTTAATGGTGACCTTGTGGTCTTTAAAAGTGATTTTAACCTACTTCAAATATTATTACAACCTTCAGTGTTTTTTTTACTTTTTGCTGTGAAAGTAGAGATAGTAAACTTGTGAAAGCAAATCGACACGAAAAATCTAATTTCGGAAAAAAATTTGTGTTTTTCGACTCACTTCTCCCCTAAATATCTATTTTTAAAAGCAGGTTCAATGGTATGAAAATGAGAAAAACATCAGTGACAATTACTTACCAATAATGTAGTAGTCAATAAAGGCATTCGTTCCAATGTCTGCATCAAAGGCTTTCACTTTTCCAACAATAGTACCAATGGGAACTTCCTCTTTTATCTTCATCACAACAGGTTCGGCATTCTGAAGATCAAATCACTTATAATGCAGCAATAGTACACAGTTTGTATGACAGTGAGCAAGTGTTAAGGTTCCTTTCCATTATAAGAAAAAAAAAGTCATGTTATTTCAATGGCCCAAATCCAGCAGCCCTGTACATCAAAACCTAATTATCCCATGCCAGCACTAAGACATACTTGATCGATTTCGTTCCTGACAGACCCCTGACAATTCTTTAATGGCTTGTATGCCTACTGGCTAGGGTGTAAAATGTCTTAATTTTATAGAAATGAGCCATCTAGACCCGTGGTGTCATAAACAATGAGTTTAAAAGAGAGAGAGAGACATCTGCTTTTCCTGAAAATGTTGACATCAGCAAACGCATCATCTATGCTTCAACATAGATTCAGCAATGCACATATATTCATGTAATCAATAACTAAAGGAAACGTGGAAAGGCCACAGTGACTTCAAATCTACATGAAAGAATATGTGGGATTTCGTAGAGTGGTGCTCAAATTCCATTACACGCTTTCAGTAGAAGCCCAAGAAGTAGCCACGGTGGTTCAACAAGATGTTACTACATGCATCATCATGTAACACTTTAGTACATTAAAGAGGCTCTGCAACACTTTCTGAGCATGATAAAAAAACGCTGCCGATTGGTAGTTGAGGCTCCCGAGAACACACGAGCCAAGAATTATAGCATAGCAAGCTGCCTGGAATTCACAAGAAATTCACAAGAAATGAGTGTGCCATAGTAGAAAACACTTCTGTGTCATTCCACACCAATTAACTGTCTTGACCAGTATAAGCAACCATTCCCAATTTAAAACAAAAATGAATAAACAAAACATACTTTGCTTGCGAAGGAAAACTATTGTTCAAAACAATATTTTAAGTGCACAATAACAATCTTTCTTTAGAAATCAAAGGTACCTACTTTAAATCTTCCAGTCAGTGCTAAACTTTGCAGCATAAAAAGAAATAGCAAGAAATGCACTATTTTATTTTTGTCAATGCATGCCTCAATAAAGTTACAATACATGCCTCAATATAGATGGCAGTCTGGCAGACATAGCTTTATCATCAGAAAATAGTTACGATACCATTTGAACATTTTCATTTGTTTGGTTTTCTCCTAACAACGACAAAAGTAGTGAGTTTTCTAGACACCATCTACCAAAAAAAAAAGGAGGCACCTGATCTTTGTCTTTTATAGTAGGTCACAATATCGCAATAGCACTTTGTGTGCATCGCCTTCTGAATGGCTAACCTGCTTCGGTTCTCGGTCCATGCCCCAGCCATGCTGATGCTGTAAGGAAACGAGCAACTGTGCACGTAACCTGCTCACTTTGTTGATGATTCTGCCGTTGCTGATGATTGAATATCACAGAGTAATGGGTGGACCTTTAAAACACCCACTCATTGTTGAATTCATATCTTTTGGCGCCTTGAACGATTCTACGCCTCGGCCACGCAATCGATGATATATTAAGGAGGAGGAGGGGTAATACTTTATTCAGGTAAAAGGTGGAGGCTCCCAGGATGGGGGCCACAGCTGGGTGGGCTCCTCCTTACAGGAGATAATTGCCATTAGCTGCTAGCCGGAAGGCAAGGGCGTGGCCCGGTAAGTAAGCCCACAAGCCGCAGCATTTGCCGCTTCATTACCCTCGAGACTCACGGGTCCAGGGGTCCATACTGTCGTATGGAGCATAGGTGCTCCAGTGTAGTCGCTGTCTTGTAAAATTTTATAAGCTCAGTATGGGGTGTACCCTCTTTCGATATTTTTGCAGGCTCCTCGTGAGTCCGCGATGATGACTCTCGAATCCCGGTCAGCGGCTGCGAGCGCAATGGCCACTTCCTCCACATGTGTTGTATCTCGTGTTTTGAATGTTAAGGAGATACCTTCCACTACATGACAGCCATATATAGTGTTTTTTTTTCCCAAGCAGTTTCCACAAATCTTGTGGCTCTGTGGTAAAACACTGGCTTGCCACGTAGACAGCTTGGGTTTGACCCTCAATCACACCTGTAAATCTTTATTATTTATTTTCTTTGCATTTATATCGATTTTTTGGTCAAGGACAAGATGGTGTTTCACTTGCAACTAATGGTGCCAACGCCAACGCTGACACCAGAATTTCTGCGAAACAAGCATTTAAAATTATCGCGTTAAAATGGAAGGGTATGCAGACCCCACAAAGGTGTCATGATACGCACAGCTACTGTCGCCTGCCAAAATTAAATTTCTTCTTGCGAATGTGACAAAAGCTACAGAAAACAATGCAGAAGTTGTAAACCAATGTTCAGATGTTAACAGAGCACTGCAGAATACCTTTTATGAACCCAGAGAATAAATAGCACCATGAAAAAAAATCTCATTACTTATTTTTGCAAGAAGCTTAAAAAAGCAATACCTTGTTCTAGGTACAAAAAAAGTTTGCCTCAACACGACATCAAGGTGAGATCTGGCATAAAAAAAATATGCTTCTATGTTGCCCACTCCACAATTTTATGGTGAGAAGTGTACAAATGGCAAGGCATTGCAGTGACATGCACAAATCTAATTCACTGTGGCCAAATTAAGGGTCTTATGATGCACTTGTGCAACACATAATTGTGGTTAGGCTTACACTCTCTATTTCTATCATCTTTTTTTCTTTTCTTTTTTTTACATAACCTCTACTTTTCATGCATCCAAAGAATAATACACAACAAACAATATTTTACCCTGAATTGAAGACAATGCAACAAGCCACCACAGATTTTAGCAAGAAATGTTGGGGCTGTTAGTAAAAAAACATTAAAATTATTTTTTGATAAGATACACTGGCATAATTTTTCAAGTGGAGGTGTTAAAGCCATAAGTATCATCTTATCATTCTCATTCAAGTGTAACCTAAACATTGAAGTAGCACAACTAAAAAATGCACATGGTTTTATGAGTAACTAAAAATGTTATTTATTTAAAAATGCCTGCAAAATAACTTTCCTACCATTTCCCACAGAAATGTGATTGTCTGCTGCCTGTTACCGTAAAATCCCCAGCAAGCACCCCCCCTTTCGGCGAAATATAATACAGAACATTTGGAAGTGGGGAGGGGGTTCGTGCTCAGTCCCAGAAGACGGATGAAAATTTACTATGGCAGACGAATGCCACTTAAGATAAAAGTGCACGCCCGTTCTTCTAATGAGGGCTCCATTGAGTAAGGATGCATTCACTCTTTCATAAGCAGTGAATGAAACAGTAAAAATGATGGGAGGGGAGGATGGCGGGCGCTTTCGCCGTCATTGGAGAACTTTCCAAATTACTCGAAAAAAAGAAGGGGCTGCTTGCTTGTGTAGGGTTGCATTCTACGGTGCCCAAAGAAAGAACAGTTTCTCTAGACGCAAGAAAAATCAAGCTTGAGATAGTGAAGCATAGTGGGCAAAGCAAGGAACCAACAGGCAGCAAGCCAGCATGCACTTTGCATGCTGCCTTGTTGCACTGTACAATGAAAAGTGCAGTAATAGAGGTCATGAATATCATTGCAGAATTATAAGTAAGCATTTTCATTGCCCCGCAAAAAAAACTACACCATGAGACTTACTAATTATAAGTAGCATGCACAGGGAAAAAAAAACCTGCTAATTTGATGCACATTAATCTTTCATATCAAATATTGATGAGAAGGGAAGGGTTTAGAGGAAGATAAAAAAGTGCCAACTACCACCTGTATAAGCTCAGTGCATTGTTTACCAACAAAGTTCACTATACCACGTGAAAAACTGCAATGTCCGTTCACCTAGTCACGGTAGAAGTGATTTGCTATGACACAATAAAGAAGTAGCAAATGAAAATATACACTAAAACCTCGATATAAGAAATTATTGTTTATAACGAAGTAAGCAACCACTAGCTTTGCTTGCCATAAAAATGGTGTTACAAATAATAATTTATAACAAGTTTTCGTATATAACGAAGTATTTTCATGGCAGATACGAGCTTGTTGTAATGAGGTTTGAGTATACTTCTTAACATGAGTGAACAAAATGCTCAATCAGAGTGGCAAACACTTACGCGTGATCTTTCAAACTCTGGCTCATTGTCGTCAACATCAAGCACAACAACTCTAAGAATCTGGTGTGCCTCTTGAGGGGGAACTCCCATATCATAGGCCACGACCACTAGCTGTGTGCGAAAGTACAAAATGCATATCCACAGTCAGAAAAAAACCACACCATTAAATTTTAAAAGGTTACAGGGCTGCTATTTATTACACCAACAATTATCAGACCCTTCACTGTTTAGTAACTCTAAAGAAAACAGTATTATGCCAGTAACATATCAGTTAGAAAACATTGAAATATTGGCATATATAACAGTGGTGGTCCAACGATCTTATGTTCTGGAACAACTTTTGGAGAAGAAAACCTGTTTAGGAGCAGTGCTGAAACAGAAAATAATGTTTTGAAGCAGTTTTGCAATAAAAAAGATGGTGTTTGGAATCACTTGGTACAACACTAATATGGTTTCCACTTGGTTCATGTAGACCAGTAACATTGTGCATAAAACGGGAAGACGGAAAGAGCACGATGGTACAGATTCTCATTACTGTGCAAACAGGAAACGCTGCTATAGCGTAAAAAAGACACAAGGCCATCAACTGGAAAGTAGTCATGGAGCAAAGTTTCTTTTTCTCATGATAGGATGCCATGTCACATAGCATCAAGTAAAAGGGCTTTCACTTAGGTGGGCAAGAAAGGCTGTTGAGACGAACTTTATCTGCCCAGGCACAAAGAGATGAAAAATACGACTTGAATACATGTGCTGAAATGCATAAAACAGAGTGACAGCAAAGCCTTTCTTCATTGCTACAAAGAGACGTGCTTTATTTTGCTTCATTATCATACATAAAATATGTACTGTGAAGTGTTAATTAGTGACAAAGGCAAACATGACAAATAGTGTTTTTGTGAGTAACAGATATCAAAATGTCTCTCCAACAAAGAAAGTCAACCAGACCAGAAAGTTTGCAGTCTAACCATAACAAAAAAGGAGAAAAAAAGCCTGGACACCCTTTCATTGGTGCAACTTATTATGGCTATATATGTACCATCATTTGCCATACTCATTAACTATTATAAGTTGCACAAATAATCCCTGATTGCATTTGTTATGTGAAGTAGCACAATGTTCTCACTAAAGTGATGAATGCCTCCTAGAACATGTACTGCAATCCTACATACTTTTAGGGGCTTCACTGCAATATAGAATCTGTATTGCTGAGAAGCATGTTTGAGACAGACCGATATTGTGGTTCAATGCCGGCCACAGTAGCAGCATTGTGATGTATTTACAGCAGTGGTTCTCAAACTGACTTCCAAGAAGGACATTTTAGGATTGAGCAAGCTGTTAGATAAATGTTACGTAGCCTAATTTTTATATATCTGCAATCAATAAATTTACACCAGAAAATTTGTATTGCATTTCATGAAGCCATTGCACGTTGCACCTAACCTATGAGCAGTGAGAAAACCATGCATCAGAAGTGCTTCAGACTTGTGACTGCACAATTTGAAAATTCACAACAGCCATGCTGAGGGTTTTTAACTTGTACTCGCAAGTGTAGTTTGTAACATGAGAGGGAATCAGTTTAGGAGTTCTGCAATATCTAATCTCTATGTCTGCCTGTTTCACTCTTACTGCTAATTAACTCTTCTGTTACCATGCCTATTCAAATCGATCACCGGTGATCAATGCTTTGGATCGTCGATTTTAGCATGTTAAATTTGTTTCTCATGCACTCAGCACTTTCTAGTATAGTTAATCCAACCACTCAACTTTTAAAATCAATATTAATTCGCTCGTTTGGGCAACATAGTGATTTTTTACAGACCTTTGTGAGAACCAATGTGCGTGTATTGTTCGAAAACTGCACTAGGCTGGCTAACTTGACAAAAGAGCGTGCCCCTCGTGATTATACTGCAGTGACATCGAAGTTTTGTAATAAAAAGAATCTTTGCAAGCCAAATATCAAATTAAAGTGTCAGCTTCGCAATTTGATAGTGTTTAGCAATAATAATTGCCAGAAATCGTTGCCAACTATTCAATAGACAGCTGTCGCTAGAAGTCGGGGAAAATTTATTCTACAAAAAATATTTCCTATGGTCCGCTGCATAATTAAAGTGTTGAGATGGCCTTCTCAGCCAGTTTCCAGCAGCTTTGGTTTTGCTTGTATTGTTATATCAGACACAAAGTTGCTTATAGTGTCACTAGTTGCTCCTACGGCATAGTCGTCCCGCGTGCGTGAGTACGCACCAGCACTGCAAAACACATGCGCCGCTCGAAACCGTTTTGCAACCCCATCTGAATTGAGGGAGGATGAGCTTAGAGTTCAAGGATGACAGCACCTCAGCTTCAAATCTTATGGAGACGATGTTTTGCGTCAGCCTGAGACATCCACAGGCGTTCATGGGTTTGTTTTATTTTCGGCCTCAAGTTGAGACTCCTCCGCCGAAAGAGCATAGCTGCTGACCTTTGTGCACGGTCTTATAGTTACTCTGGTTATGTGCAAGGTCCACACTTCGAAGGGGCGCGGTGTGCTGGCGCCGGCTGCAGAGCTTCTCCTCACGATAAAAAGGCCACGGGAGCACATGTTTGCCACGGCTATGGAACAGCGTGAAACGTTTTAGAACTGCGCACGATACTGTTCTTTTTGTAATATGACATGCAAAATGCTAAGAAATATGTTTGGATGCATATATAGGAATGCCAAGCTCAGCAAAGTGAGGTGGCTCATAGAAAGAGGTCACACTAGACGAAATAGCGAACTTCATTAAACGTCTGATTTATAGAGGAATTATTCACATCACGGGCACACTTCTATATTGAAACACCTGAAAGCTCTTATCCCAAGAAAACAAAAATTTACTGAGAAATGTGTACGAGTTCGCTTGTATCTCACGAAAAACCAGGCAATGCTTCACCGCATGACTGGAGCAACGAAGCAGCACCTCAATTCTGATTTTCTTTGTCTATATGAATAAAACCTTTTTGTACAACATTCAGTATTTTTATACTGTTCCTGAATCAATTTTTTTCAACATGTATATTTTTAATATTTTTTGTTTTGAATATTTTTGCATATATTGTGTTTTTTATTGCACTGTTTACCAACTGGCAACTAAAAATCACACTTTTCACATTTTTATTCATTCCAAAATATTTTTATTGCTCTAGAACATATATTTTTTGGAAAGAGCATTTCATTTTGCAAAATTTGGTATGCTGCAGCGTGTGCTGGAGTACTTCACAAACTCGCAAAAACGATCTTCCCAAGACATACGAAAAATAACTATTTTCGAGCGGTATCGAAAGAGTTAATGTGTGGTCGTTGGAATGACTTTTTTAAAAGAGGCCCATGACCGAGCTCATGTGCCCAAGAGGGGACAGGTTCAGCAGCACTACAGAAAAGCTGCTGGTATCCTAAACATAACGATAGTTATAGCGCGAGAGCAGAACGACGACAAGGCACTTTGTCATCGTTCTGCTCTCGCCCTTTGTCGTTGTTCTGCTCTCGCGCTATAACTATCGTCATGTCATACCAACTAGCCCAAACTGCCACACTTCTAAGGTATCCTAAAGGCCAGAAAGCTTGATGAAATGAAAAGCTAGGAGGTGGCCTATCGAAGCACGACTGAACCCCCCTCCCCAACCCCCTCAAATGACTACATCAACCCAACATGTCATTGCCACATCAGAGCACATGTACAGTACAAGAAAGGCTGTGGCAGTAAAGCCAAACAAACATACATTCTCAGTCACTACGCTGTCGCTGCGTCTCATGTCTGACTGATACTTAAAGGAAAAGTGTGGGGGAAGTGGCTTTTAGAGTATTTCTTACCAAGGCTGGCTTCATGAAGTAATGCACTCTCCTAGTTTATGCCTTATCCAATGCAAGATTGTTTGGTTACCCCTGATATAGGAATTAGTTCACTGACATAGAGCATCTTTGGATAAAAACATTTCACTTCTCTCAAAGAAGGCAAAAAATACAATTAAAAGTTTGGCACAGTTGCATTTGAATAAGAGAAGGGAGGAGCAGACACCACAGCTGTAGCAAAATGGCAAGAAAAAGGTATGACTGGACCACCACTGATAAACTTATTTGAACCCGCAAGAATAGCGAAATGTTAATTAAGTGTGATTATCCAAATAAGTAGTACCAGAGAAATGTCACAAATTATACAAATTGATCTGTCCGCATTTACCAAGTTTTTCATGTATTACCAGCTAGGGGGTGTGTGAATATTTGAAAATTTCAAATAAATAATTGTTCTATTCTGCTCAAAACTCGGGTCATATATCCCATATTAGGAATACCGCATCTTTTTTTGGTATTCTTCTAATAGTAAGCGCCAATAAACAAACTTCAAAGGAATGAGGAAAAGAGAGGGGTAATGTTTCTTGTTTTAATAATCAAACTACCAAGACTCATGCACCCCAGGGTTTTACAGAACAATTAAACTCCAGTGTCACTGGAGCTTTAAGCGACTATATTTCTGATGGCTTTTATAGATGGCATTACACATGATGCTGATTCTTGAATACTGTCTAAAGTTGCTTTCATCCACTTTTATTTAAAAGCTGTTGCCAAAGTATCACCTTGAATACTATAGTCACAGTTGCATTTCAACATGCAGTTTAGAAATATTTCTAAGGCTAGTTGCCATTGTATACAAGCTTGCCTCAGTTTACAAAATTACTTTTTTTTGTCAGTAAAGGTAATCATATTACTCTTTTGTTAAAGCTGGTGAATATTTATTTCAAATAAAGTGTCATGATATTCTTGAGCTGTTTCGAAAATAGTGACATTATCATTCTAGTACTTCTTTAGAAATAATTGCCTTATTATATGAAAACTATTTGAATAGTATTCAATTCGTATTCATATTCAATGCACAGTCATCGGTATTTGATTTGTATTTGATCCAGTTCCAATATTCACTATTCCTGTGCCCAAACTAAATGCATACTATTCCTTTGCCCCTACTAAATGCTACTAAATGCATACAGATAAGCAATGCTTCTTAACGGTACACTACAGAGAAACAATGCCTTGATTTAGATTAATAAACTGCACTGTGAGAACTGTAATACTAAGAGTTTCACTGTCATGAGTTCATTATTAGCGGAGAAAATCAAGATTGAAGTTTCATTGCTAAATTTTGTGCCAAAATTCCTGCGCTTGATGAAACAAATTTCAAAATGTATTTTCCTATTTTAGCGACATTAGCTCTATGAATGTATATTCCTATTTTTGCAACATTAGCTCTAAGAAATTTTCCAAAACTTCATATGCTAGGTCTATGGCACCCACAGATAACAATGTACAGTAGAATCCCTTCAAGACGAACTCAGAGGGATCACGATCATTTGTTTGTTTTATCGGGAGTTCGTCTTATCAGAAGTGCTCCAAAAACCAAAAGCTAACTTGCCAAGTATGCCCAAATATATTGCTTGAAAACACTGAATGAAGTGTACTTATGGTGAAGAAGAGAAGAACAGGAAGAAGCATTTATTCAGCTCAGCTTGATAAAAACTATGCTTTCAAGTTGAGTATTTAGACTAATCTAGTGTGTACTTGATTTCACAAATTCATAATGAATATGTTCATGTAAAATTGCTATCCCATTTTAACAACAAAACTCTAGCTTGACCCTATTTTGACAGTTAGAAAAACATAAAAAGGGAGAGACAAGCACAATCTTCCTTCAAAGAATGGAAAATTTATTGTTCTGGCAGTTCACCTTCTCAGAGGCTGTTTTACTGGCTTTGCTATCATTCTTGGATGCGCCTCCATTGCATACTACTACCTTGACGAAGCCAATATACGTCAAGTTGCTTATGAAAGTCTGCAAGCTTTTCTGTGAGGTTCAAGTATTTTTCGATTTTCAGCTTGCAGTAACTTTTCCTGAATGACGTGCAGCTGAAGATCTTCGTTCACTCTACTCACGATCACAAGCTTCAGGCACACAAAAAAAGACACAACACAGCTATATTTAGTGTGCAAAATTACCTTTCTTAGTCGTGCACTTTCATAATAAAATAAGGCACATCCCAATTTGCTGCATTTCACTGCGAACAAATATGACGTGCACAGTCTCTATGAAAAATAACACTAACCGACCACAACATGGGCTCAGGCACCATTGTGTGATGGCAATGACAATGCATCCGACTCCCCTGATAGGAGTGCTAGTGCTGCATATGTGGTTTCCGTTTCATGCGGTTATAATGTACAGAGAATCTTTGTTCCCATTTTCACTTTCATTTGGCTTTTTTTCACCCCTCCTTCCCTTGCATTTTCCCCTCTAGCCAGGCTCTTGTGTTTTTCTGTTTTATACTGTACTCCTGTTGGGGAACTGAAGAACGCGAGGAGAATATGAAACAACGAATGCTTTTTGTAAAGCCGGCCCTTTCTTCACCTAGAGGCCAGGGGTGAGAAAGATACCAGTTTTATGCACTGACCTTTCTTTTCCACTTATCTCCCTTTATCCCTCCACGTCGCAATTTGCTTTCGATTTGCTTTGAGTCTTTGTGCCAAAAAGTTTTCATTGTGCTTTCTCTTGTTGGCTTGAAACTATAACGTTCGTCGCACAGAACCCCATCGTTGTTGGTTGCTGCGAGAGTTAGCATTAACAGAGGAGGCCTGCTACGCTGTTCTTCTTAAAGCAGATTTTTTTTTGCATTGAGTCTATAGAAAACCAAACAAACACTCCCGTATTGTTAGTCCTAAGCAAGAATTCATTTCAACAGAGTTCGCCTTAACAGGAGTTCACCGCACATCATTTTTATAGAGTAGAAGCTATGCAGGACCCAGTAGACCCCTTAAAAATTTATTAAGTCAAGGTGTTTGGTATGGGAATCTTATGGTGGCATCTCCACCCGTATTTTCTTTTCATCCATTTTTTCGCTTATTAAGCGTCATGTCGCAGTAAAAGTGGTGTTTTTGGCATTTTGAAAGTGTACTTTGATAATACCTGAAAAATGGTTTTGCTCTTTTTTTGTCCCTTCAAATAGCAAAAATGAATAAAAGTACCTGCAAAAGCATACATGTCATAAAAAATAGCATGAAAGTGTAAATTTAAGGGCTCGTTTTCTTTCTTAGACACAACATTAAAGAGAACTGACAGACAATAATGACAGGGAAAGTATAGGGAATGTTAATAGAGATGATCATAATGTAAATGTGAAGAAAGAAAAGTAGAGAAAAGATCACTTGCCACTGGCAGGATCATAACCTACGACCTTCAAATAACATGTCTGATGCTCTACCGCTGAGCTACGGTGGCGGTCATCCCCGCTCCACTTTATAGGCTATATATGTGCACTTATACAATTACATTACAATTACTTCTAATAACATCCCATATACTTTCCCTGGCATTACTGTCTGTTTGGTCTCATTAATAAAGAATATCAGTAAGCAGCAAATATTGCAGGCTAGAGGAGCCAGAAATTGTCAGGTTCATCAGCATCACCAGGTTTGCTGATACTCTGCTTCAATATTGTCAAGTGACAAAAAGAATTGCCAGTTCTTAATGTATAATTGCAATACAGTCGAACACGGTTATATCAAACCCACATATATCGAATTTTTGGGTATATTGAACTCGTAAGTTATCCCCTTGAAATTACTTTGTAAAAGTATAGCAATTTGCACGTTTACATTGAACGGTATTTTTACCCGCTTTCGGATATATCAAACGCCGCGTGAGCTGAAAGGTGCACTTCGGCACTCACCGCGCCCTGCGATCTCCGCGGCAGCGTGGCTACCCGCGCGTGAGTTGGAAGGCATGTTTTGGCACTCCCACGCCTGGTGACCTCCGCGCGGCATGATGCCTCCACTAAAACCTGAAACGCTCAATAAAAAATAAGAGTGAGAGGGCTCTGACTGCACAATCTCCGTAGTATCCCAAAGTCATCCGCGACGGTCAAACATTTCTCGCCCGCCTCAACACGCTGAATAGCCTTCAACTTCGTCCCAAAGTCAAGGGTCTTGCACTTCTTGACATGCGCCCCGCAATTGACAAAAACCAGACACACAAAAGTGTCATTAGAGTTGAAAATTAACCAATGTTGTATGACCCAATGTATAGGGGCTGGTTGTATTCCGTGCATTACTCTATTACCTGATTGATAGTATGAATATGGTATATTGTGGAGTAGCCTGGATGAAATCCTGCTTGGTCTTTTAGTTGATTGAACTCTAATGTTGCCTTATTTCTATTAGCTATTACTTTTGTAAATACAGTAGACTCATGATAATTTAAACTCTGATAATTCATACTTTCGGTTATTTCAAACAAAATACAATTTTTTGGTTGGCCCTCTACACTCAAACGCGGTTACATATATCGAACCCACATATATAGAATTTTCGGGTATGTCGAATTCGTAAGTTACCCCCTTGAAATTTCTTTGTGAGAGTATAGAAATACGCATGTTCAATCGAACGGTATTTTTACCCGGCTACAAATATATTGAACGCTGCGCAAGCTGGAACTTGCTGAACGGCTTTTTTTTTCCGTTTCTCTTTCTCTCTCTCATGCTTTCTCCGCGAACCCGTCGGCTCGGATAGCAGGAACGAAGGAGTCGACATCCTCCTCCTTTCGCCTTTTCTTTTACTTTTCGTTGCTGTTTTGTGAGTTTTGATCAGCCAACCTCAGCTTGCGCCATTCGCTGTTGCCCTCGCAGGTGACCATCGCTTCGCGAGCGCTTTGTTGCTTCCGTTGTCCCATCGTCTACGTACCACCGCATGTGCAGCATCCTTCTTTTGTGTGCATAGTGTGCAAAGCCACTGTGGAGTCCTTGAATTGTCGACTTCTTGTGTAGCTATGGCCAGCGTCAAGAAGCGCAAGACCCCTGACTTTGCGACAAAGTTGAAGGCTATTCAGCGTATTGAGGCGTGCGAGAAATGTTCGACCGTCGCGGACGACTTCAGGATACCATGAAGCACTCTGAGTACCTTGTTGAAGAACAAAGCAGATATGAAGGCAAAGGCGGCGGAGCAGCAAATGTTGGTAGCTTGTCATGTGCGCGCTTCTGCCCATGGGAATGTAGAAAAGGCACTCTATGACTGGTTTTGGAAGTGCGCGCGATGGACATTCAGGTGGATGACCCGATGATGATCGCCAAGGCCAAATGGTTCGCCACTACACTCGGTGCAACAACTTCGCCGACAAAATTGGGTGGCTTTATCGATTTAAGCAGCGCTACTACATCATTGGCAAAACCAATTCTGGCGAAAGCGAAGCTGTCAGCAGCTAAGACATCCAGCTGTGGATGACGAAGGTGTGGCCGGAAATATTCACGATTTTCTCCCGCGGAGATCAATACCTGGCGAGACATGAAGACAGACACAGTGGTCAACGACTTCTGCAGGGCAGGCTTCGAGACGGCGTAACTTGCAGAAACCGGTGAAGATGATGACGAGCGCATAGAAGACGCGTTTCGCGAGTTGTCCCGCTTCCCGGCAGCAGTTTCACACGAAGTGTCTACGGATGACTTCATGGAAGCAGACTGCAATGTCAAGGCCGTCCTCGCTGACGAGGACAGAGTAGCTGCAGTCGCAGGGACCCAGGATGCCCAGGCTTGTCTGGACGAGGCGCTAGCTACACACGCATACTCCACTGCTGAAGTAGTGGCAGTGTTTGGAGTCATTTAACGCTGTATCGGCGACATGGAGGGAACCGGACTGTCGCACCTGGACAGCCTTGATAAGATCAAGACTAGCGTCTTCCACTTTATTTAAAAAACGAAGAAGCAGGCCAAAATAAGTGATTTTTTTTCACGCAAATAGATCATTCTGTTGCAGCGTGTGTGCGGAATTAGTTGTCATTCTTGAATGTGCCTATAGTAGGTGATAATCCGCTACAAGTAAGCTCTTGGGGCCTCTATTTTCGTATATCGAATTTTTCATATATCGAACTAATTCGTGATCCCCTCCGAGTTCAATTTATCCATGTTCGACTGTAGTGACAAATAAATGCATTTATGTAAAAAAAATAAAGCAGTAATAAAATATATGCAGACCGTGTAATTGTCTCGCTTCTCCCGATCCAAGACAGCTGTGGTGCTCACTAGGCCAGATGCAGGGTCTATTTCAAATTCCAAGTCTTCTCCAACGGCACTGTGTTTGTCAAGAAACTTGTATGCCACTTGTCCGTTTGAAGACAATGCACTGTCTGGGTCGACAGCCTGAACTTGGAACACTGAAGCTCCAATAGTAACATTCTGCAACAAAAATGATTTTAAATAACAAGAATAAACAACAGTTGTCTTGAAGTTTCATTCAGTGTGAAATATTGCATACTCAATTTTTTCATCCTAAGTATTAGCAGGTACTACTCTACAGTTCATAAACAAGACCGTGACTGAACATACAGAGGCTCTTCGTTGATGGCAAAATAATTATCCGACATCCTTACAAAAAAAAAACAAGAACAGGCAGGATTTCTTGAGCGCTAAAAGCTCATTATAATGAAGTCACATTTTTTACGTGAATACATAGTTAAATATGAAAATTCGTTAGAAATGATTATTTGTACCACTATCTAAAACAAATCAATTAGTCATTTATTTTGTTATAACCAATAGATAATTCTTTATACTAAATTCTTTATATCAAGTTTTAAGTGTATTTTGCTTGCTCAAAGCACTGAAGGCGAAACAGCAACAATAGCTTGACATAAGCAAGTAATGAGCTGCAAGCACTACAACCTCAGCAACCATTCATTGTGGCTACCACCACAATGCATTGTTACTGCCTACTGCATGGTTACAAATGTACGCCTAAAACAGTGAGTGGGTTATTTCCCAACATTCCCACTAGTGTGAACCTTACCTCATGCACATAGGCAACTTCGCCCATCCGTGGTCGTATAAAACGTGGTATGCCATCATTTGAGGACACGTCTCCTATAATGATGAGTATTTTGACATCTGTGTGAAGTGAAGGGGTGCCACCATCTGTGGCTCGTACTGTCAAGAAGTATGGCTCTGACCGCCCCCTCCCAGAGAGTGGTTGTATCACTGTAATGACACCTGTCTTGTCATTGATCGCAAAAAGTGCTGAAAATTGAACAAAAAGAAACAAACAAAAGAGTCTCAGTAACACAACCAGCTTCCCACCATAAATGCAAAGAGAAAGTTATTTCACATGCAACAGTCTAGCAGCTACACAATATTATGAAAACGTTGAGGAAGTCCCTTATGATGTAGAATGAACGATTGGCATTGTTCTTTTGTTTTCCTCAAATTGTACATTTAAAAAATAAGCTGTGTGATACTTGCACTTCAAACAAAACATAACTGATCCCTGAAATTCCTCTAGGTAAAAAAACATGTTAAGTAGATATATTCCAACATTCTACCAAACAAAAAAAACCATAAAATCTAGCTTTATTCATTTCTGCAGACAGAGCAAAAATATTGCTGAATCTAACAAAACTACTGAAGAAGCAAAATAAAATGCTAGTTATAACAGCATGCTTAAATTTAGGTCACTGACAGCAATACCAAGCTATCAAATGTTATGGCACAGCTGCATAACATTTTGAAATAGGCATAGTGTTGTGCAACGTGGCATATGGTTCAGATAGCACCTGAACCTAAATTTTAACAGCAATGCTATATTTCAGTATTTATTCTCATTAAATCTGGGAAGAACAGATGCCCTCTCTACTGATGCCCCTAATCACATTTCAGGTCCTGTCATAAGTATCCATTGCTATATGAAAGATAAGGGCAGGAATCTTGATGTTTTTTTGTTTTTTTTGAAGACATGACAAATAAAAGAAAAACATACCAATCAGCATTGTCTGATACACATGAGAAAGTTTCATACCGATTTGAAAACCCTAATACATAAGAAAATCACGTACTCTGTTTAACTTCTTGCTAGCGAAAATCAAAATGCTTTTTAAATTGTCACAAGCTTTTGTGGAGAAACTCTAGTCATTCAAGCTGCAGGCTTCAAGGATTCTCGGCATAAACTTTATGTAATTAAACGCAGGTGTATTAACATGCATGCAGCCAGAGTAATCAAAGATACTTTTTTTAAAGAAGACATTAGAAAAATGTGTACATACTGATGGCTCCGACTTCAGGCTCGTCCACAAAGGAATAAGTGACTTCTGCGTTGGAACCAGCATCTTTATCACTCGCTCTCACGGTCAGAATGCTGAAACCTGTTGGAACATTTTCTGGCACGACAGCTGTGTAGCCAGACTGACTGAACTCCGGTGCATTGTCATTCTCATCTTGGATCTTAATCACCACCTTTTCGAAAAATGCAGAACATTATGCAAAAGGTTAGTTGCACGGTACTTTTGAAGGACTAGTAATTCATTGTTGAACTTGATATCTGTTGTACTTGAACAGGGCATTGTAAGAGACACTATAGTGGGAGAGCTTGTCAACCAGTATAAGCAAGTGTAGTTAATGCACAGCTCAAACAATGCATGTAGCAAAGACTGTTTTGACAGAGGCTAAGGCACGCAAGACTTTAGTGCTGAAAGTGACAAACAAGGGCACTTTAAGTATGTAAACAAATTACCAGTACTGATGTCCTGCGCTGGTTTGATGGTGCCCCTGGGTTGTCAACAGCAGTAACCTGCAGGTTGTACAGAGGCTGCTTTTCTCTGTCAAGAACTGCACCTTCCTGGATTCCAAGGGCACCCTGCATGTTAGCAAGAGGGTCAGTCAGATGCATGTATTTCTACCAATGCACTCAAGCTTTGCCTTTGTGAGCCCATTTTGATGTCTCTTAATGTGAGACAGCTTGGTATACAAGCACACCACTGGCGCCAAAGCATTCCTTAACGGGCCTATAAACCACCTCCAATATTTTTTCAAACATTTCAAGTAAACATGCCCATTGTGTGCAGAATGCCATTGTGATCAACGAGTCTACATGTGGCAGCTACGAATTCCAAGAAACAATCCCTCCTCCTTTCCGGGCCTTTCGGGACTCCATGTGACGTGCCGAGCCAAATATGCTGATTGGTCGAGCACGAGCCTACGACTTCTGGTCAGTCTGCAAGCAGCTGCCAGCGCTGCTTTTTTGTTCGTCGTGTTGCCCCTGCACGTGCGCCCGCTCACAAGTCAGCAACTGACGGAGTCGATGGCTGGAGTCACGGCAACCGAAAGTAGACGGTTTTCAAGCCGTGCGTCAGCGAGGACGTATGCTACGCGAGATTGGGAGGCGCTCGGCAAGAGGGTAAAGTTGCTTGGAAGAGAATACCAGCAGAGGGAAGCACAGGAGAGAGCGAAATAAGTGATCCTCATGGTTTTGATAATCAAAAGCGTCCAACTCCGCTATTACTGCACAGTTTCAAAAATTCTCACGGCTCCATGTTCGTCGTACACTCGTGCACAATTTCTCCACCACAACTGAATTTCGACCACTGGGTGGTCACAGGGTAGCCTAATTATATGTACAAAATATGTTACATAAAAGTATCTCTCACATTATCAAGTTTTTTACGCTGCAGGTGTTCTTGCACACATTTTGTAGATGTTCAAGATCTGCAAAAATTGAGAGCACATACCTTGTATCTTAATTTATGTATACTAACACATATTTGTTTTTTCAAATGCTAACACAATTTTTTAAAGCTGTGTGTGACATAGAACGAAAATCTGCTCAATGAGCTACATTACCTAAACTGAAAATCAAAATGCATGGTAATTAACAAAGAAAGCTTCAACTATGGCATCAACTTTTTACCAATTACATTTGCACACGTAATGCAACACAGTGGAATCTCCATGTTATGATCCTGCATAAGACCTTTTTAAAGACGATAGTCTTTCTTGGGGACCTTCGACGAAAAAATTTTGGTCTGTCTGTCTGTGTGTAGATTTGTCTGTTTGTCCACCCTAACGATACCTCAAACGGCACTAAACGGCCAACCCCCTCCGCAGCGCCCACCAATATTGCTCAAGGTTTAGCGTTCATAGTTGTGCGATTGTCAATTAAAAAAGCAAATATTGCGCATATCTGAGGTGCCATAAAAACACGTCACTGTTTTGTATGTCTGCCTTTATACTAGAAGAGGCACACACAAGTAACTCTAATGACTGTAGCGTTTATCGCGCTGCGCTGACACTGCAACGCGATGCTCAAGGAGGTGTTTCCAACGCTTTGCTATGACGACACGGTAGTGGCACCTGCCCGTCGTTTTGCATTGTACACTTATCACCTCCGAGACTGGCGCGCATCTTTCTCCGCAATCGCGCACGCTTTCATTTTCGAAGATAACTGCCAGATGGTGCTCGTGTCTAGCGTGCCTAGATGCGCTTGTTCGCCTCCGCTACACGCTCGAGGCACTCTAATGCAGCGCCTTCAGAATACCATTCACCGATTTTCTTGCGCAGAACATCACGTGAACGCTTTGTTCACTCTCTCCAGACGCAAGACTATCGTCTTTCGACGACATTTACAGTGTAACATGTAGATTCGGGCCAATTTTTTGGGCTATGATATGTATGTTTTATTTCCTGGCCAATGTCTCATAGGAGCATGTATTTTCGTATAGTTAATGCATTTGCAGAAGTGAGTTCCTACTAGTGCATCTAATAGTCATGACTTTATATTTTAGTGTACTAGCTTAACAGACTCACTTGTTTTGCAAAACATCTTTTTATTATTCAAATAAATTTCAATGCAAAAATTAGGATTGTATATCAAAGAACTGATGTAATTTACATAATTATTTTTTAGTACTAGAATATGAAGTTGAAAAGCAGCTACAATTCAGAATTTGCAGTATACAACATGAAGCAATCAGATTCGAAGTTCATCAGTCATACATGGTTGTGAGCCAAATACAAATTTTGATTTCTTTTGCAAATACTGACATACATCTCTATGAGTAAATAGGACTTGTGGTACATGTCACAGGTGAATTTTTTAAAAATTCTGTTCATAATTAAAAAACGAAATGTAATTTTTACTGAACTTCGTGGGAGCAATTTCTGTATAATACTGCCAAAAGCAAAGAGAAACAATACATGAAGTTGGAATACATACTGTTGTTTCATTGATGCTGAACACATCAGATCCTTCTCCAGAGATAAAGTATTGGACAACTCCATATCCTTGTTGTGTGTCCTTGTCAGTTGCAGTGATAAGCAGGATGGTATGAGGGAAGTGTGTGGCTTCTGACACCATTGTTACATACGACTGAAAAAATAACACATTGAAACACAGACTTACTCATCTGCAACATCATCGTAATTGAAGTAGCACATACAATGTAAAAGACACAAGCATTTCAAATTTCAAATGAATATTAGAAGAAGTAGAAAAAAAAGAAGAAAACTTACATTTTGTGAGAAAACTGGGCTGTTGTCATTAATGTCCTGAACATTAATGATCACTGTAGCAATGGAAGACTTTTGGCTGTTCTTATCCTGACCGATGATGGCCTTCACATCAAATGCCAACACTTTTTCAGGCAACTCCTCATAATCAAGCCTCTGGTTGAGTGTTACCGCACCTGAAAAATTGCACATTTATATTGCTAAAGATGAGTAGGAAGAAAAAAAATTTTTGTTTTTATAAAGTGGTAAATATTGACAAGTGAAATTTGCTTTGATCCGCTAGATAATGAACTGAGGCGCAAAAATGCACACTTTTCGAATATAGCCAAACAACAATTATTGGAAAATTGTTCAGCTCAATCATATTTTGTTGTATGCATAATGTACATATTTATATAATTTTGTATGTATGTTTTGCTGTAGAAGGCTGGTGTCACTTTGCAACAATGCCACAAATTTGACATTGATATAGCAAATACTTTTAAGCTACTGGAACATAAACACAAAGCTCTAGGTAAGATAATTTTTTTTCACATAAAAACAAAATCAGATCAGAAGAGGTCAAAATCTGTATGATTGTAAAGCTTACAGTCACTTAAATCTGATACAGCTAAGTTACAGTTCAATATGAAATCACTAATCAATTTAAAAGATGCACTGCACCCACCAGATATTGGGCTGACTGAAAAGAAGCTTCCTTGGTCAGACTCTGGGATCTTTGCGAAATTGGTAACAGCAGCATGAGTGAGGGGATCACGGGCTGTGACTGTAAATATAGTGGAGCCGACTGTAGATTCTTCGGGAACAGTGATCTCAATTTTTGGGTTTGCAGGAGTCCATGGAGGGGCGAATATTGGATTACTCTCACTATGTGCTTGAATGTATACAGTGACCTCCACTGCAGAGGAAAGTAAAAGCATCAAATGAGGTGCAGGAACTAACTACCTTCAATTGTTACACAATAGAGATGATGACAGATAAATTCTGGAATACAGCCAACATCTATTCTTTGACTAACATTAAAGCTCTCTTAAAAACAAAAAAAATATGGTTGGTATATTTTGAGTCAATATCTCTGAAACCTAGCAAAGTAAAAAAAAAATTTTGTTACACTCTATTGTTTTTGACATAGCTATACAAAAACTAAATGACTCCATTAAAAAAGGGCAAAAAGCATGATTCCGAGCTTCTGAAAATTTTTCAAAAAAGAACATACACCCACACTCTAAAACACACACTCACCTGTAGTTTTCTGAGGCTGAATGGCCCCATTTTGATCAACAGCAGCTACATTAAATGTAATGACTGATGCTGCATTGTAATCCAAAGGGCTGTTTACCGTGATTTGACCTGTCACTCCATTGATGCGAAAAGCATTCTGTAAGAATACAAATACACTAAATAATTGATTCAACTTCTGACGATCTCCTTCAGCTATTTTCTAATGCCAGACATACCAATATACACTACAGTTGTACATTATTTTTGACAAGCTGGCCTTTATAAGCCTTTACAAAGACATTTTGGTCTATAAGGTAACTATTTATGGAACTACAAACAATGCTACCTAAAAAAATACTCAACAGAATTATTTCCATGGTGCGTGTTGGACTGACTGAGCAGATTTTTTTAGTATCACTAGTGACAGATAGCACTTTTCTAGAGTTACAGGTAGATTTCTGGAAGAACTGATAGATTGTAATGTTCAAGTTGATAATTCTAAAAATAAATAATTTATTTATTCCACCTAGGGGAACAGAAAACAGAGCGAGAGTGAATAGACAAAAATTTTCTGCTTTGAATGCAAGGCATAAAAAACAGACATAAAACACAATGAAAAAGTCAGGACACAGGCATTTACACAGACCTTTTCATTGCTGCATCTCTGTTCTTTATGACCGACTTCTCAAACCACTAGTCGCTTTGGCACACAATCAAACCTCAATACAGTGAACATGGATTACTTTTTGCAGTTCTGTCTGGCAAATAAAAAATTTAGTGCTGCCCTATAATTCATTAATTAGCCTTGTATGCCTAAGCACACATTTATCTTTTCTTCTTATGAATTGTATAAAATTTTGAGTATAGTAGTTCATTAAAAGTTCATTCAGGAATAAAGCACGAAATAAAATTTGACAATGAGGTCACAGAGGTTGAAGGGACACCAAAGCCAAATATTAAGTCGATGTTGATTGCTGGAATAGCGGTTCAGAAACCTGGTAGTGCTACTTTTATGCCAAGGAAGTGCTTATTTTCAAATAAAATCATGTTTTAGTGGTCTGCATCACGTTAGCACACTTCAAATTACCCGCCTCAAGTCACCTTTCACGTCGCTGTTGCCATACACGTCGTTGCCCGGCTTTACTGCGCAGCCACTGCCACTATTAGCAGCAAAACGAAAGTAGCGGGAGTCGCAGCGGCAACTTGGTTCAACTGGGCCCTGCTAGATGGCATGACCTGTCCAGATTAACCAGGCGAAAATTGACGTGTTGAACCACTTGTGCCATTCCCCTTAGTAACGTGCGGCAGTTCTTTTTCCCATGAATCGAACCGAAACGAACAAGCAGAATTTTATTACGTCTCTTGATGCACAGAAGTTTCTTTATTCAGTGCAGCTAGTTTGATTACTATAGTTATTATTTGTAGGTGATAAGTAGGACATCGGCAACATGTCCTACTCGCGGCGCATGTGTTCTCGAGCATTTACATTTTTTCTCATAGTTCTCATGTACCTTTTGTTCATCATAACTGAATTATCTTGATGCATTTTGATTGAGGTTGAATTGGTGCATCAAAAGATTTCAGGGGCCGAGACTTAAAGGGACACTAAAGTAGGGCACTGCTGTTCATAATATTGTCATTTTAGATGTTTTCATACAAAGCTTTCACTCCGACTTAAATTGTTAGTATTTGACTTTAGTGTCTCTTTAAGTCTCTGCCCCTGAAATCTTTTGATGCACCGGTTCAAGCTCTATCAAAATGCATCAAAATAATTGATTTCTAGTACAAAAGGTACATCAGAATTATAAATAAATTTCTAGCTTCAAAAATATCAAAAGCTTCCACCTTCTTATTCTAGACTATTCTGCACTCAAAAATACCAAATTGTATGAGACAGAAAATGTAAACTAGATATGATATTGTTCATGCACATATCTGTGAGTGTGGCTATGTGGAATACACACCTTATAATTATACGTGATTGTCGAAGTGACTAAGGATCCTGTCTTGTCCCTTGCTATTATGGGTTCTTCAATGTCATACCGCACCTTAGCCCCAACATCAGGATCAATGGCTGTCACATTCAAGACCTCACGTCCAACAGGTAGACCTAAAGAGTGAAGAAAAATGATGTTGAGGTGGAAGGTGGGACAAAAAAATAAAAACCAAGACTGGAACAAAAATTTCAAAATTTTTTTCTTTGTCCAGAAATCAATGAAAAACAGTATGAAGCAATATTTTACAAGCATAAGTTTAAATATCTATCATGAAACCGATATATGGCATCTTTTACCTGCACTTACTTACACATAGCCAATAGTTATTCGGAGGTTAAGCTTACTGAAACTCATAAGGCATATTTTGGATTACATTGAACTAACACTAATTCCTTCTTCAGTGTCTTCACATGAGTTGTAATGATGCCTGTCATGTAAGTTTTATTTTTTACCTTCACTTTCACCAAAAATGCATCTTGAATAAATACAAAATGTAGTGCGAGTCTTGCATGTAAACAATACTCAGGAAATAATGACAGGATATACACAAAAGAGAATCTGGAAAGAAGGCTCTTCCTTGAGTCCTGGCACATACAACACACACCGGTGAACGTGAACCGCTCCCTGGAAACAATGCCTCCAACCTACGTACACGGCCTCCGAATCATGAGAGAAAGCGAAAGACTGAGCCTAGGACAAGGCGCGTCGACGCTTCCCTGACCATTAAAGACTCCTCTGAGGAAGGAACCAAGCCAGTCTTGAAATGGGTTTTTTTCAGGATTCTGGTTGGAGGTAATTCAACTTCCTTAATATGCAGCTTGAATAGGTGCCCTCTACTTGTCCCTGCCAAGAAATGATCAAACTAAAATGCCAATGAGTTGTCCAGTCTGGAGACACATCCAAGCAGTTTCTAGCTATGTTTGATTTTAACATATTCAAGCCCAGAAAAAGTACGCTCACATGCATATGTTGTGTAAAACTGCAACAAAAGCAAAGTTGTGCGTAAGGGGAAACATTAGTCAGCTTTTTCGCAATGCAAAAGTGTTATGCAATGAAGCATACGAAAAATCAATAGGGGCCGCTGTCACAAGAGTGTGCCTTCAAAAAGATGCATTTTTTTTTCGCGAGAATTGATTTCCCAGACTATGCAAAATGGCTTTCCAGACACCCTGGAGTCTGCAGGGACCTGATATCAGTACCACTGCACTAAACATGGCTTAACATAGGGCACAGCAGAGATCAAGTCAAAAGTGTGACATTCGTTTTATGAAGCTATGTAGAATAACAAACCTCTGAGCTAATTGGTAAGTAGTATTCATCCTCAAAGAATGTACGAAACGCGCAACAGTTATGTAGCTGGTTATCTCATGTTGAAAAAAAATCTAATTTTCATTGACAGTGGTGCATTTAAGGTACAAGGAGTAACAAGTCCGTCCAGAGAGTCGATCTTTTTATTCAATTATTCCAGCACCAGCTTGTTGCTGAGACATGAAGACTTGCATAGTTTCCAAGGAAGTCTTGGCCAGAGTTACAGAATTTAAATGTCCCCGTGTGAGTGCATTTTTTTTATTGCTCTCTTCTTCTATAGGATGAACAAGTGACACAATTTCAGGATGTGATAATTCAGCAAAGGTAATGAGATCACTGTCACATTGCATATAGTCCACAAACAAAGTGTTGCTGTGATGTTGCTATTGTAGGGAACTATGCGAACGACGACGAAGCAGGAAGAAACGGCAAGCCACAGCGTTAATGCACACGCGCGACCCGTTTGTTTTGTATTTTCGGCCTGTTGGCGTTCCTTGGCCTTCCAGTAGGTCTGTACGTAAATAAACTGCGTGACATCTGGTGGAGGTGTGTGGACTCCCGTACAAACCTGAAACTTCGCTCCCGTAAGCTTGCCCCTCTACGTGACACGAACATGGCAACCGAGACGCTTCTCCAGGGGGGACCTTCGACCGTCCATGTCACTTGTGGCGCCGTGTATCCTCAACGAGGCCCTCCTATCTTCACGGGCTCCACTGAGTCGGACGTCGAAGATTGGTTGGCGAGGTACGACAAAGTCGGCGCAAGTAACAAATGGGACGACCCAAGTAAGCTGGGCTACGTCACGTTCTACCTTGCGGACACCACGCAACTCTGGTTTAATAACCACGCAGCTGACATTACTACGTGGTCTGCATTCAAGACTGCTATTACGGACGTCTCTTTGGACGACCTGCGGCACGCAAGCTTCAAGCCGAGCACCGTTTACGTCACCGTGCGCAGCAACAAGGCGAGTCCTACACGGGCTACATTGAAGATGTGTTGCATCTATGCAACCGCGTCAACTCTACCATGCCTGAGGAAGAAAAAATCAGGCACATTTTGAAAGGCATTGACGACGGCGCCTTTTAGATGTTGCTCGCGAGAAATCCCCCCACAATTGCTGTCCTCGTTTCCCTCTGTCAAAGCTTCGATGAATTGCGTAGGCAGTGCGCAATTGCCCGTCAAGCCCTCACAACGCCAGACACGCTCGCAAGCTTGCACCTAGCTGCCCATTCTACCGCTTAGCAGCCGCTGCTTTCGACAATCACGGACTTCGTCTGCGAAGAGGTAGCGCGCCAGCTGTCACTGCTGCCACTGACACATGAGCCCGCGCAAGCTTTGGCACCGGACCTCCAACACGTCATTTGGACCCAAGTCGCTGAGGCCCTTCCGCTGATGCATCAGCAACCACCTGTCACTACACCGCTCACGTACGCCGTCGTCGCTGCTCGGCCTACGCAAGAGCGTATGCCATATTCTCAACCTGCCACGCCACCCTATGTCGTGCCTACAACCCCAATTGCTGCGCCGTATCCCTACACGAGATCTTCAGCTCCATTTTACCGTCGCTCAGACGCTTGGAGGACGCCGGATAATAGGCCCATCTGTTTCGCCTGTGGTATCGCTGGACACGCCGCCCGCCACTGTGGCCGAGATCCCCCTCCAGTCGAGACCGTGGGCAGGCCAATGGCGTCGTCGTCTAGGACGCCATCAAGGTACACCACTGACGATCCTCGACCCTACGCAAACAATCGGTCACCATCACCCCGACGACGCTCCCTGTCACCTATGCGTTGCCGACCTGCTACGAAAGAGGGAAACTGATCGCTGCAGCTCCGGAGGCAACAGCTGCATACAATTCGAACTGCTTAAGGCCTCCATTTTTCGCGCCGCAAAACGTTATTGACGTCAATGTTGAGGGGACCGCCGCACAAGTGCTTATCGACACAGGGGTCGCCGTTTCCATAATCTGTGAGACCTTATGCCGCAAGTTGAAAAAGGTGACGACACCTCTTTCGGGCCTGATGCTCTGCACGGCCAACTCGCAGTGCATAGAACCTACAGCTGTGTGCACTGCACGTGTCATTATCCAAGGTGAACTTTATGCCATTGAATTTTTTGTGCTGGCATCATGCTCCCACGAAGTCATTCTTGGATGGGACTTTCTTTCGCGTCATCGGGCCATCATAGATTGCTCACTTGCAGAAGTTGCCCTTACACCACTGCCAACCTCTTGCTTGGTGGATTCTCTTTCTGAAGCTTTCAAATTTGTCGTTGTTGCAGACACGGAAATAGCACCGAGAACATCCACCCTTGTAGCCCTGACCTGTACAGCCGCTCCTGCCGGAACTGTTTTGTTCACTCCGTCTGACGTATTTACCCGCCGCCGTAGCCTACACCTGCCCTTTGCCATACTCACGGTGGAATCCGGTGCTACCGCCATGCTCGTCGCGAACTCGCTATCGTCGCCAGTTACCTTACTTCACAGAGAATGTTTGGGTAACATACAAGACGTTGACCTCTTGCACCCTCTGGAGTTCGCCGAACACCCACCTCACCTCCAGCTCAATGCTATGACGCCACCTGTGGCCACACTGCCCGCGCCAGACTCATTCCAGCCCTCTGTTGCCGCTGAGCTGTCGCCGACACAAAGAAGAAAACTCTTGTCCCTTCTTCGAGAGTTCCGTTCTGCCTTTGATTGCGCTCAACCATCTTTGGGTCGCACAGCGAACATCACGCACCACATTGACACCGGTACTCATGCTCCCTTACGCCAACGACCATATCGAGTTTCAGCGGAAGAACGCCATATTATCAACGAACAAGCCGACAATATGCTCAAGCGTGGTGTCATCCAGCCATCGCAGAGCCCTTGGTCGTCCCCTGTTCCGCAAAAAGAATGGGTCTATCCGATTCTGTGTCGACTACCGCCGGCTCAATAACATAACTCGGAAGGATGTGTACCCGTTGCCACGCATCGACGATGCTCTCGATTGCTTGCAAGGAGCAGAATATTTCTCCTCTTTAGATTTACGCTCAGGATATTGGCAAGTTCCAATGGCTGATCCTGACCGATCGAAGACTGCATTTGTAACACCTGAAGGGCTGTACGAGTTTAACGTCATGCCGTTTGGACTCTGCAACGCCCCAGCTACCTTCGAACGGATGATGGACACCGTCCTTTGCAGCTACAAGTAGAACACGTGCCTCTGCTACCTAGACGACATCATCGTTTTTTCTCGCGACTTTTCGACTCACCTTGTTCGTCTTCGTGCTATTCTCACGTGTCTCACCTCTGCTGGCCTTCAACTTCACATCAAGAAGTGCCATTTCGCCGCACGTCAGCTCACTATACTGGGTCACGTCGTCTGCAAAGAGGGTGTTCTCCCAGATCCGGCGAAACTCCGCGCCGTGGCCGACTATCCGAAGCCCAATTCCATCAGGACGCTTTGAAGTTTTATCGGCCTGTGCTCATACTTTCGTCGATTTGTGCGCAACTTCTCTTCCATCATCGCGCCTCTTACCAACCTGTTGACAATTTCCAAAGGCATTTCTGCTTGGTCAAAAGAGTGCGACGAATTCTTCACCGCGCTTCGGCGGTTATTATTATCACCTCCAATACTACGTCATTTTGACCCCAATGCGCCTACGGAGGTCTACACCGACGCCAGTGGTGTCGGTCTTGGTGCTATATTGGCTCAACGAAAACCAGGATACCAAGAATATGTGGTCGCTTATGCGAGTCGAACCCTCAAGAAAACCGAGTGTAATTATTCCGTCACGGAGAAAGAGTGCCTCGCAATTGTCTGGGCTTTGACGAAGTTCCGCCCATACCTATATGGCCGCCTTTTCGAAGTCGTCACGGACCACCACGCTCTATGCTGGTTATCATCGCTCAAAGACCCGTCGGGCGCCTTGGTCGTTGGGCGCTTCGCCTACAGGAATACGACATTCGTGTTGTATACTGATCCGGCCGCAAGCACTCCGACGCTGATACACTGTCCCGTTCGCCGCTACCGGCTGACCCAACCTCCTCGTCACCTTCTTCAGCTGTCATAACACCAATCGACTTCACAGACATGGCATCGGAACAATGCAAAGATGTGTGGATTTCCCAACTCCTCGCCTTTCTGACTGATCCGTTAGCTAATTTGGTCTCAAGAACTATCCGCGGTCAAGCCACACATTTCGCTATTCGAGACGACCTCCTCTATCGGCGGAATTACACGTCTGAAGGTCGGAGGTGGCTGTTAGTGATACCCAACCACATGCGCTCGAAAATCTGTACTGCTTTCCACAACGACCCGCAAAGCGCTCATGCTGGCGCTCTCAAAACGTACAACCGTCTACGTCAGCGGTACTACTGGCGCGGCATGTACACATTTGTCCGCAAGTACGTACGTGCTTGTACTGCATGCCAGCGACGTAAGGTCCCACCTCAACGCCCTGCCGGTACACTTCAGCCTCTGCCTTGTCCAGCGCGTTCGTTTGACCGCATTGGTATCGACTTATACGGACCACTTCCCACGTTGTCTTCTGGAAATAGGTGGAGAATTGTTGGCGTGGACCACCTCACGCGTTACGCGGATACGGCAGCACTACCCGCAGCAACCGTGAGGGAAGTTGCGTTTTTCATCTTGCGCAACTTTGTTCTTCGCCATGGTGCTCCCCGCGAACTTTTGAGTGACCAGGGGCGTGTTTTCTTGTCTGACGCCATTCAAGCGTTGCTCGCTCAGTGCAACATGGTTCATCGCATGACGACAGCATATCACCCGCAGACGAATGGCCTCACAGAGCGATTTAATCGCACTCTCGGTGATATGTTGACGATGTACACAGCTGCAGACCAGACCAATTGGGATACTGTCCTTCCATTCGTCACGTATGCGTATAACACCGCTACGCACGCGACAACAGGGTTCTCCCCTTTCTTTCTATTGTACGGATGCGAACCATCGTGCACGCTGGACACTATCCTCCCATACACGCCCGACTCCTCTGAGTACACTGCAATTTCTGATGTTGCCAGGTACGCAGAAGATTGCAGACGATTGGCCCGTTCACTGACAACCGAGGACCAAGGCCACCAGAAGCTACGGCATGACACTGACCGACATCTCTCTACTTTCACGACTGGTGCTCTCGTTGGGCTCTGGATTCCACTGAGTATTCGTAGCCTTTCCTCGAAATTACTGGCACGATACCACGGGCCCTACCGCATTCTCGCCCGTACGTCACCAGTCAATTATGAGATTGAGCCTTTGACACAGTCTCATGACTTACGCCGTCGTGGCCGAGAAATTATGCATGTGAGTCGCCTGAAGCCGTATTACGAACCCGCTATAGTGAATACGCCTTAAGTCGCCAGGTTGGCTACGCTATTCACCGGGGGCCAATGTAGGGAACTATACGAACGACAACGAAGCAGGAAGAAACGGCAAGCCACAGCGTTGGTGCACACGCGCGACCCGAGCTTGCGTTTGTTTTGTATTTTCGGCCTGTTGGCGTTCCTCGCTCTTCTGGCGTTCCTCGGCCTTCCAGTAGGTCTGTACGTAAATAAACTGCGTGACGCTACTATCAACATACAGCTGATGACAGAATTTTGGCCTCATTAGGGGGGCAATCGCCTCATCACACTGTTCTTCTTGCTTGCTTTACCACAGATGAAGGAAAAAGCCATATTTTTTTTTTTTGCTAGCAATAATACTGAAGGGGTGATTTGAGGACAGCGGGCATTGCTATGCCAGAACTGGAGAGCACATAGCTTCTCTTGAACTGATGTCAAAAACAAAACCGGTACCACTGATCAAGTTTGTTCAACCTATTTTCTATGCAGAAATTTGTTTAATAGGAAGATTTTTGCATAGAATGCATAGGAAAAGCACTAAGTATTTTTAAAGGTTGATTATTATTAAATATTTGGTCACCCGATTCTCGCACATTTTAAATGTTTACTGTAGTTATAACTTCTTAAAAGAAGTGAACATACTTTCAGTAACCCAGTGCACATAGTTGTCCTTTGCAAAGACAGGTGGCTTGTTGTTGACATCTTGTACGGAGACTGTTACCGAGGTAAAGGCTTTCTGTGGTACCACGCCTCCATCAACAGCATACACCTGTAGACATACAAACAGACAAATGCGTAAAAACATCTATTCCATATCCTGCGAGGATGCAGTAACCTATGTCAAGAGTTGATTTCGTGGGCATGTGCCCATCGGCAGAAAAAATACTACAGTTCAAGATAGGGAAATTGAAAATAACCCATTTGTAGCATGATGCCGCAAGGTAACCATACCAATTTCTCAGAAAGAAAGCTTCTTAGTTGCTGAGAAATTCGTCCTAGGGATCGAACCCAGAACTAACGCCTTTTTGGGGCAGTCACTCTACCAACTGAGCCAACCAGGAGACTGGCAATAGGCAGCACAAGGGTCAACAGACCGAGAACGCGAAGCAATTTCTTTTCTTAACCTGTTCGCCACCTTGCAGAATTCTAGGGTTGATTAGTTGCAAAACACTACAGGTACTCGTTCACTGCAGCGGAAAAATTTTCAATATGTGCTAATGACAGTGAATAGCAATGACTGTACAATTTTTTATGCATCTTTCATAGTACAGGGATGTTAAAAACTTCTCAAGCTGCACCACCATAGGACTACATGTGATAGCGACCAGGGGGCTTTTGACCACCGCTGTACACAGTCAAGCTATTTACAATAAACAGGTTCGGACATTAGAATCCTGCCCGCTGCAAAACTCTCAACACTAACCCATGCAAGGTTAGACAGTGTCACTGAAATGTTTTCAGCATAGCAGTCTGATCTGCTCACGTCTATTGGTCACCATTTTCAGTTTTCTGAGACCAGCTTTCACTATGAAGTTTTTGTTCTTTCTTGCAGACTACCATGCCCATGTTTCCAAAGACAAAAGACAGGTGCATAGGTAATAGTGCCCTAATAAGCTGCTGCTCACTTGACATATACAGACACATGCAGGACTGTTCAAATTAGCATGTATCTATAGGCATGTACACAGTCAACACACTAAACATATGTGACAAGGAGCCCAACACTTACCACAACATGGTATGAGTCTCCATTCAACTCCCTGTCCAAATTTGCATTTGATGATGTACTCAGGATTCCTGTCAATTTGTTGAGAACAAAGTTGTCCCTGGCTCCAGAATCAATGTAGTAGCTGATGCTGTCATCTGGGCCATCTGGGTCAGTGGCCACTAACTGGAGAACAGTAGTTCCTGTAAAAAACAAAAAAAACATGTGAAACCTTTATGTATGACAAGAGGAAAGGCCATAAGACTACGTACGCCCCGAAATTGTGTGGTGCCTTTGTCCAAGCGTAGCAGATGAAATGTTTTATTGTATACACAAAATGCCCATCTTACAAAGTTAGTTAGAATCTGAAAGCCTCGCATGTGATTGTAGTGATTATGCCACTATTTTTCAAAGGAGATTTCAACAGTACAAATAAAGTGAAAGCATAGAATGCAACAGCCTTATTAAGGTCCTTTGTTTGCCACTGTTACAAAACAAGCAAAGCAACAAAAAACATAATAATAATAAATCAATCATTTATTTAACATGCCCTGGAACAACCATGAGGTCTTAGTGCAGGCACATGCAAAAATAAAACAATACAAATAAACAATAAGAACAATAAATAACAATAAAACAATACAAAGAATACAATACAGGCACTCTTCAGAAAATTAAATAAACAGTGAAAATACACAGAAAAAAAAAAGAAATCAGTGCAGAATGAGAAAGTGTAAAAAGAAAAGACAAGAGTCGTAGAAAGGAAGTGAAAAATATAGGGGAATACACACATCTATGCTGAAACCTTCCTGAAAGAGAGAAAGGGAAGAATGTGTACATTGTGAAAAACCATGTTAAAAAAGTGCAGAGCTGAGATAAAAACAAAGACAGTGGATCACTGTTAAGTTCACTCACATGTTCTCTGCAATGCACCAAACATCTCTATATTTTTTTAAAGACGTAATTGCCCTCATGCAATGCGAGGCCTTATTGTGTCACAATATTTCCCCCCATTTGATGTTTTTGACTTAATGCTCATCATCCTAAGCCTATTATATTGTCCACCGCACGACCAAAGCTTCTCATGATAACCTCCAGAGTGCCCTGCTCTACGCCAGCAGGTTCTACTTTATGCTTACAAACTTAATTTCATCCCCCCTCCTAACTCCCTGCTGTTCTCGGCTGCATTTCTTATCCCTCGCTATTCATTGATGCTCTAGATGATGCATGTACAAAAGTCATTGAATGCGAGAAACATTCAAAAGTCTGGACTTTTAAACAGCAGAGGTTTTTTATACACACTAATCAACAAAAAGCTCAAGCTGGACAGCATGAAACACAACAGATTTTGTTTATGACTACATTAATATTTTTTTCTCCATTGATAACATGAACCCTAGAAATATGAATCAGTCAGTATAGCATACGCTTTTGCCACATGGAAATTATTTGTAAAAAAAACTATGTACAAAAAAACAGAGACAGTATTTGGTGGATGCAGAAGACAAAGACAAGCAGCTTAGTGCCTTCAGCTCAGTGGGCTCAGCTGTGACACTGAAGCTGAATCCACAAGCTCCTTTCTCAACACAGGTCAACCACAGCAACAAAAATAATGTATCCTATGCTCTAACAAGGAATAAGTTTCGGATAATACACCAACCGCAAGAACAGACGAACAGCAAGCACAAATGAGTTCTCTGCTACATGCATAATGGCATTCAGATTACAGGAAGAAAACTGCTCACAGTGTTTTGGACAAAATTTATAGATGTCCATAACACAATTTTTATCCTTTCCTTCAAAATAATGTTATTTCTTACTCTGTTCATAATTATAAATCAGTTTCAAATATATAACAAATGATTGAATGACCTTATCTGTGTGATCACCCACAAATGAAGCCGGTGAATAATAAAATGCAGGGCAGATTAAGACTCCGAATACATGAAAAGTCAACAAAATGACGAAATGTTTATTTCATTACCCTTTTAAAAATGTTGGCATATGCTGCAATTTGCTACATTTATTCTGGCTCAAACTGTGTCCATATATTTATGATGTCGGCATTTCTCTAAACAATCGGAGACTACGCATAACACAAATAATGTGCCCACATATGCGCCCACACAAATATTTATGCATACATGTACACTTTCAGAAAGGATTATGAAAACAGAATAAAATGAACACAGGAACTTTGTTCATTCTACCCTTCTTTCATGTGCTTTACAGCAACCTGTGACTATGCATAGCACAAATGTTGTGCCCACATATGCAAACACACACACACACATGCATACACGCACACACACACATTTGTGCATACATGTCTACTCTGAAAAAGGATCATGAAACTAGAATAAAATGAACACATGAACTTTGTTCAGTTTATCCTTCTTTCATATCATTTACAAATTCAGCATGGCATGATCAATATACATAGCAAGTGCTAAAAATTTGAAAAAAAATGCTTAAATTAAATGGCTCTGACTGATTAACTATGTGATGGATGAGGGCAAAATGACAGCTGCTCAAGAAAAGGAAACTGAAGCACATATATGGTTCAAAATTTGCTAATGTGCTTGTATGCATTAACAAAACCAAAGTACCAGCATGGCTTGAGTGAGTAATATAACTTCATTTGGTCCATAACAGACATGAGTAAACTCAATGTCAAAAAAAAGATTTGCTTTGATCCTTCTTTTACTATATTGATAACTCATAGTAGAGCAAAAATAAGTCAAATTTGAACAAGAGAAAATCCAGATTCCTGTAACAATATTCACATATTAGAAATCCATACACACTTCAATGCACACAGAACACAAGTACACATTTTAAAAAAGTAAATATATAAACGATAAACAATTTCATTTTCCCTAAGCAAGCTCATAAATGTACACATTGCTTGACCTGGAGCAACACGGGGAATTCTTGACCTGGAACCCTAGCTTGATGCGGTGCAGATACAAATAATTTTTTTTTGTCCCCTTCAGTTCAGTAACATGACCTCACATGCAATTCTGTTGTGGTAACATTCAATATAGGATGTTTCACAGGACAGTAAAATTATTGATGCATTAAGCAGCACGTGATTGAGATTATCTACATATCAATGCTACATGCAGCAGAAGTACCTCATCAAGATCACTAGCTAATTACAGCATCTCTGTATGGTTTTAAAAAAGCACAGTTTACAAAAGCGTTATCCTGTGAATGCATTGCACATATAACAATATGGAGGCATTAATATATCCTGCTTTACTAAATGGCTGTACGATACATAAGCCATTCGCTTCTTGACACAAGTGCTAGACAAAAAAAAAATGATTAGTGAAGTTTAATGTAATATGAACACTTTGTTCAGTAGCTCAATCATACTATTAAAATGCAGTGACATAACTACCGGACTTCTTCCTTCTACAGTTAACTGAATACATACAGATCTTTGCAAGTTTATGGCAAAAAAAAAGATTAGGCAAAAATGAAACAGGACCAGTGATTAACACAACTAGCACTCATCATGTTTGTCTTCATCCTGTCCTTATGTCCTCTTTTTCTGTTCTCTTCAGTTAACTACAGACTTGTGAAGACTTCACACAAACAAGGCCAAACTTTCTTGTCAACGCAGAGTGTCACCCGTTACAAACCTTGCTAATATATTATGAAAAAAAAGGGAAAGCAATACTCTTACCTGGCTTAGCATTTTCATTGACACTAGCTTTGTAAGGAGCATTCAAGAAGTAAGGTGCGCCTTCATTTTTTCTCTGAAATATTCAACATGGCAAATGTGAGCACACCAGCATCGAAAATACGTGTCAGCTAACAAGAGCATACGTCATGTCACCAGTGAAGAACTCTCTCTCACCTTGAGCCGAATAATAAGTGGAATTTCCGAAGCAAGACGTGGTTCACCAAAGTCAGTGGCCTGAATGATGACCTCAAATCGTGTGGCACCGTATGGTGCTGCAGTGATGTTAAGACTTCCCATAAGTGAGAGCTCTCCAGTCTCAGCATCAATAGAAATCACTTCAGGATGAGTGAGGTTAGTGGCTTTGATCATGTACTGTACACGGCCATTGCCTTGGTTAGGTCCATCAGCATCTGTGGCCTACAGTGCAAAAGCAGGGCAGCATTTAGGTGCATTGATTCACAAAAACCGTCCCATTGACACAGCACAAGAACACACAGTCTAATGGTAAACAAACATCATCGTAGCTGAGGCGGCAAGCAAAAGGACCAGTGCCACTGAGCCACGAGGATGCATTAAAGAGGGTGATAATACTTCACAACAATATGTCTCAGATCACTTCCATATACATATAGCACATACTCAGTAGAATCTGGCGAAGCTATGCAAGTCAAGTGGCTATTGCCTACGTGTTGAAGAACATAATTCTGTTCTTTCTCTTGACGCCTATGAGACCAATTTTCAAAACAAGCTTTTTCACATTTCTCCTAGTTTTATTTTTTTATTGCTGGTTTACTTTTGTATTGTGCTTTAAAAACATAAGTAGCATTAATATTAGAAATATGCTATAGCTGAGATTCCATAATTGAAAAGCATCAAAGTGCTTCACTTGTGGCCCTAAGTGGTTCATTATAAAGTGTGTTTCAAGAAATTTGTTCAAAAATTTTCACAAGTAAGGGAACAGCTATTATTGCTCACTGCCTTTATAACTACTTTTTTCGTGGTGGCCACCATCCTAAAATGACTTAAGCCATAATTTACAGGATTTATTACACAAATAAATGATGAATTTTCATTTAGAGAAAAGAAACAGTGGTGTCAAAATGGGGAATTGAAGTCCTTTTTATGAAGAGTCTGTTGCTGCCTTAAATTTTCTACAAAGCAACCACTGGTTTTTTGTGGATTGATGAAATTCACAAAATGCGCCAGTTAAATCGAGCTGAATTGCCGAAGAGCACCACTGCTTTACTCTTCTAAGGCATCCAGAATGAGGAGGCGTCGTCATATCAACAATCAATCTACTTCGCTTTATGGCTGTGCACAGTGCGCTCACCATGATAACATGCATGGTGCACATAGGTTAACAAATGCACAACTAAAACCACTAAAACTGTCGGAAACAATTATTATCAGTCTGTGCATTTGCTAGGGTATAACACTTGCAATTATCAGCACTTTGGTTTTGGTTTTAGCAATAAATTAATTTTAGTTTTGCTAATTGGATTTAATTCTTCCTTATTTAATCTATATAAGTAATGTTTTCAGTAATGTCTCTAGCCATCTAAGAAAAAGTAATTCTGAAGGCAATGGGTAACTATTCTATTTCCTTTAATTTTGATAATTTTCGTACACATTTTTTGAAAAACCTGGTATAGCTGCATAGTATGCTGTTGCGAAGAAATCTTACTGAAGTGGCAGAAGATACAACCTATTACATCAAATCGCAACCTGAGGAAGGCAAAGAAACATTCCTTGCTCCTGTGGCTGGAGTTACTGACGCTGCTTTAACAGCTAAAGCATTTTTATTTATTTTCCCTCTGTCTTATGCCTTTACCAATACAACATAGTGCAGAATCATTTTGCTTTATGCTTCATTCTCACTATGTATTCCCTAGTAATGATACAGTGAAGTAAAAAAAAATTCAAGAAGCATTGCGCAACTGATGTATGGCAAATTAGTTCTCCAGATGCATGCATGATGGAGAAAGGTTTGTGGGAGAAAGAAATTTTCTATCTGCTTGCCTGTATTGCCGGGCAGCCTTACTTTCTGAGGAAACCAGAAGGATATCCATACTGATTTCCTTGTGATTTTGGCCTCTATTAAACATGATTTCAAAATCATAGCACAGACCTAGAGCCCTTTGCAACAGCTCTATGCCAAACACTGGGAAGCATGTAAACAATAACCAGTTAAAAAAAGACCGGCCTACAGCTTCCATGACTACAAAGTATAATTAATGTATTTAGTAAAAGTGTGCTCGTGCAGATAGCTGCTGAGCTAGTTGGAGTAAACCTGTTCAAGTAAACTAGCACTGAAGGCTGAAAAAGACATAAGAAAAGAGGTGAACATCTTTAGAAATTTTCTGATGGTTCTGCATCCTTTTCACATACCTTAACAAAGACAGGTGAGGCAAACTCAGATGCATCTTCCACCAAGTCTACAAGATAACTGTCCTTGGTGAACTGGGGGGCATTGTCATTTACATCCACAACTTGTATAAACAGGTTCACAGAAGACACCTTGCCACCTCCATCTTGGGCCTCATAAGTGAAGGAGTAGTTGGGAACACTCTCATAATCGAGGCAGCCATTTTTGCAAGAGGCAATCCTGATACGCCCAGTATCTTTTTCTACTATGAACCTGTGCAAAAAAAAAAAAAACATGCCACACAAAAATGAAGCATTATTACAGAAATAGAAAAAACATGTTAAGATTAAACAGCAATGCACCTTCTATCTCATAAAAATTCTGAAGTACACAACAACTACTGCTGAGAGGTTCAGTGGTATGCTAAATTTAGAAACCTGTACATTTACAAAAAGAAGGTTAGTTAATTTGAGGATGATGAAGTGAGCCATAGAAAGGAAAATGCTAAATTTAGAAACCTGGACATTCACAAAAAGGTTAGGCTTAATTTGAGGATGACGGAGTGAGCCATAGAAAGGAAAATGTAACTGCAATGTTGAGGAACATGAAAAGAACACAGCAGGTCAGGATAGAAACGCTTGTCAAGGGCATCATAGTCGAAATAGTGAAACAGAAAAGGGGATGGGCAGGGCATGCAGTGAGATGGCAAGATAATCACTGGTCATTAAGATTAGATAGATATGTGGGGTTTAACGTCCCAAAACCACTATATGATTATGAGAGACGCCGTAGTGGAGGGCTCCGGAAATTTAGACCACCTGGGGTTCTTTAACGTGCACCCAAATCTGAGCACACGGGCCTACAACATTTCCGCCTCCATCGGAAATGCAGCCGCCGCAGCCGGGATACGAACCCGCGCCCTGCGGGTCAACAGCCGAATACCTTAGCCACTAGACCACCACGGCGGGGCTGGTCATTAAGATTAACGGACCGACTCCGAGAAAAGACAAGTGTTCCGGGGGAGGCAGAAAGTTAAGGAGGCAGATGAGATTAAGAAGCTTGGAAGGATAGTATGTCTGCTGCAAGCACATTTAATTAAAGAAACAAGAGAGAGGCCTTTGGCTTGCAGTGGCAGTAGTCAGCCTGGCAATGAAACTTAGATGCTGAAATACGTTGAAGCACGCCAAAGCCTGATGGCAAAGATTACATTCACAGCTGCTATATACAACCTCTATTTACACCATATCACTATAACTTGTCATTTAAACCTTCCCCTCGCAATTCTCCACACAGAGTATCGTATCACGTTTTTCCTTATGATTAACCTCGTGCTTTTTACCTCTCCTCAGTTTGTCTCTCTATACATGAGGAGGACACTGGTCATTTTATAACAAGAATGCAATATGCCACAAATTTAAATGTATAATACAACTCCCTACCTTCGAAGCTCGAAAGGAGTAGTGCAATTTATCTTATTCCAGAAAAAGCATGATCTTGTCTTGCATCTCTTGGAACCGAAAAAACAAAGCCTGGATTAAAGGCCTAGAGTCTATTATTTGGACTTGATCTTAAACAACATTATCTCCCAATGGTTAGCATAAGAAAATAAAATAGCGAACAAAAGCATAAAGTATCATTTTACACTTATCTGATTTTTCATCTATGACGAGTTTATGATGAAGAAAGATATCTCACTCTGAAGGCTGCTTGATAAAGAGCCCCATGAGACGCATACTACCTGGTTGAAAATTTAGTCCTTGCAAAACACTTGCTTATTAATCGTGTTTCACAACATTAAGGCATATTAAAGCATACCTGCATAAACACGTGATTTCACTTCTAAAAAAAAAACTGTATTCTCATAACCATGAAGAAATGAGCACGTATCTTTTCAAGAACTTTATGTGTGCCTAGAGCTTTGCTAACTTGATGCCTGTTAATTAGTTGCTTAATTTATATGTTCCCTTGAAATGTAACCCTGTGCCAAGCCTTCTACTATATCAACACAAAAATAAAAATTTTTACGATAGGATAGTAGAAATTATGTTCACTTGAAATACACTTAGCAATGTACATAACAAGCAAGGGGACCGTGAGATTATTTTGTGCGACAATACATATTAACAAGGCAAGAGGATAAACATACTACAACAGGAATGAACAGGGTATACTCAAGGAAATCTAATAGTATGTTCACCTGATGAAGTGAACATGGAGAAAGGAATTTATTGTACAGCTATTGGCACACCGCTTAAGAACAAAGGATAGGAATAAATAGACACAAGTGCAATTACAATGAATTTCTATTCATCATCATCATCAGCCTGACTACGTCCACTGCAGGACAAAGGCCTCTCCCAAGTTCCACCAATTAACACGGTCCTGTGCTTGCTGCTGCCAATTTATACCCGCAAACTTCTTAATCTCATCTGCCCACCTAACCTTCTGTCTCCCCCTAACCCGCTTCCCTTCTCTGGGAATCCAGTTAGTTACCTTTAATGACCAGCGGTTATCCTGTCTATGCGCTACATGCCCGGCCCATGTCCATTTCCTCTTCTTTATTTCAACTATGATATCCTTAACCGCTGTTTGTCCCCTAATCCACTCTGCTCTCTTCTTGTCTCTTAAGGTTACACCTACCATTTTTCTTTCCATTGCTCGCTGCGTCGTCCTCAATTTAAGCTGAACCCTCTTTGTAAGTCTCCAGGTTTCTGCTCCGTAGCTACGTACCGGCAAGATACAGCTGTTATATACCTTCCTCTTGAGGGATAGTGGCAATCTACCTGTCATAACTTGAGAGTGCTTGCCAAATGTGCTCCACCCCATTCTTATTCTTCTAGTTACTTCAATCTCGTGGTTCGGCTCTGCGGTTATTACCTGCCCTAAGTAGACATAGTCTTTTACAACTTCAAGTGCACTATTACCTATCTCGAAGCGCTGCTCTTTTCTGAGGTTGTTGTACATTACTTTCGTTTTCTGCAGATTAATTTTAAGACCCACCTTTCTGCTCTCCTTGTCTAACTCCGTAATCATGAGTTGCAATTCGTCCCCTGAGTTACTCAGCAATGCAATGTCATCGGCGAAGTGCAGGTTATTAAGGTATTCTCCATTAACTCTTATCCCTAACTGTTCCCATTCTAGGCTTCTGAAAACCTCCTGTAAGCACGCGGTAAATAGCGTTGGGGAGATTGTGTCCCCCTGCCTTACTATTAATTAGCCCAAATTTACTATCAATTAGCCCAGCTATTAATTAGAATTTCTATTAATTTAGCCCAAATATTTCCTTTATACGGAGAAAGAAAAGGGAAGAATTCTCTCAAGAATGCAGACAGGGCAATAAAAGTCTGCATACAGCAGTTCCTGCATTTTCTCTTTTTTTAGAGTGGAGGCCTAGTAACAAAGAAATAACAGCACAAAGTGCAGAATGGGCATAAGTCTGAAAGAAGCTACCTCACAGGTGACTTCAGGAGGCCTCGCTATCACTAATGGTTGGCACTGCCCACACTGATCTTTGACCAACTCACAGAAGCGTCTCATTAGAAGTTTTCATCATTGTCAACACTCAACAGGAAGGTGGTACATATTGCACCCACCGCAATGTGGCTGTCAGAACCAGAATTTTTGACAATGCAACCTCAAGCTCAGCTGCGCAATACCATAACCCCCGAACCATCACAACGAGTAAAGTGATTTTCTTGTATGTGGCTAGTGATGAAGAGGATCTTAATTACATGAATATAAACTTGTGCTGTGGTACATCAAACTATTTGGTAGGCAAAGACAGCACATAGTAACTGACTACTATGGTAAATAAAATAGCTGAAAGTTTAGACAGCATTATATATATTTTTTTCTTTCTTTTAATTCTTCACACCATATCCTTCAATGAAATCGCGCAATATAAAGTCATGGTAAAATCGACAGAAGTAACCTGTATCTGAGTAAGCAAAAAAGAAATGAAGAAACTTACTTTTCTGATCCATAGCCCTTCATGGAATACGAAAGCTTGCCAAATGGCCCACTGTCAGCATCATATGCCTAAAACAAGTAAAATGAGATCGCAGTCAGACACTGCTTTTACACTACCCCGCTAAGTCAAACAGGTAACTTTATGAAACTTGGATGTAACATTTTTATTTCATACCTCAAGAGAGAAAATGGTCATTCCATTCCTTGCACTCTCAGGTACCTGTATCAGATATTGCTCATTCTCAAACATGGGACCATTATCGTTGGCATCAGATAGAGCTACAGTAACGGTGGCACTTGCAACTTCAAATCCATGCTGTGATGCGACAACCTGCAAAGCACACCAAAACATAAAGGTGGCACAGCCCCTTCATAAGTACACTTGAACTGATCATGTAACAGGGCTTGGTAATCCAAAATAAACCTAATAAAATAATTCATTCTTGAACGTACTGAGAAAATTGAGATTTGTGCATCAGTAAGAGCAAAACATGTAATTTAGGTACAGTGAACTGATACTGAACATGAGGGCAATCAATTACTTTTGAGGACAACAGGTGCTGTCATGCACAAGCAACATGCCACTAAGCACATAAAATTGAATACTTAGATCTATGCATACTTAGCAAAGAAAAAAAGAAACAAAAGTGTGATTCTTCTCTCACAGCCTGTCATGCCAGAATGCCATGAAGCGCAAATGCTATATCAAATGAACATCACAAATAATTGGCCATTACAGATGAGTACAAACATAAATTATTCCAAATTCATGAAGAAGATATGACAAATATTAGAAGCTATGTAAAAATAAATCCATTTTCAGATTTTTTAATTGCACAGCAGTGCACTAGGATGTCCGTGGAGAAGACACCAATTACGAGTACAAACTGCTTTATTTTGGTAGCTGCATGATCAATCACCATGCATAATTTAAATATAAGTAACAATAGCACATTTAATGAGAACCATGACTGCCAACCTGAGGAGTACTTTTTTCAGAGGCAAAGCTATTATTCTACTTACCCTTATTTTTATCCTTCATTTTTCAGCCAGCTAACACTGAACTTGAGGCACATGTCATAGTAATCAGTAGAACTAATAAAGTATACAACCTGCTTTTCAAGCATTAAAACAGCCCCACTCTATATTATAGTACATACTAACCTCAAACACAAACATCCGGGCATTTTCATCTTCATAATCAAGCCGGTCGGCATCAGCAACCTTGATGAGCACAGGAGTTCGACCAACAGCTGATGGTGGGTACACAGAAAAGACTCCATCGGAATTGTTCACATTTCGCAAGGTCAGGCCAAATCTTGCATTTTCGCCCTGTGTCACAAGGGGATGCCTTCACACTTCACATTCACTATTCCAAAGTTCATCACATATTCAGTGGCAACATGCTATTAAATGTCAAGCAAAAAATTGCTTGCAGAGTACTATACTTCCCTAAAGTAGGTACCCTAATAACAGCCCACTGTACCAATTGATGTCTATCAATTTGGTCCACACCAATTGTGATGAGTGTTTGTTGTGATTTATCACAATGTTTGTACAGCGTGGAAAATATATGTGCATTGAATACTGCCTTAGGATGAGAAGACAAGTCCAATATTCAGTTTTATGCATTAAATGAAAGTTCTTGAACTCAAATCTCTATGAAAAGTTACTGGCAAACCTATGAGTACTTTAAATAATTTATTATAATTGATTCTCTATAAAACAAGCAAACGTTTTGAAGCTGTATGAGTCTGCCATGGGTGAAGTGCATAAAACTTGCACGAGATGACAGTCGCTGGAAAAAACAAAAAGAAAACCAGGGGATCAAGACACCCTTATAGCATGAGAGAGCCACCTAATAGCCCCGCCGTGGTGGTTTAGTGGCTAAGGTACTCGGCTGCTGACCCGCAGGTCGCGGGTTCGAATCCCGGCTGCGGCGGCTGCATTTCCGATGGAGGCGGAAATGTTGTAGGCCCGTGTGCTTAGATTTGGGTGCACGTTAAAGAACCCCAGGTGGTCAAAATTCCCGGAGTCCTCCACTACCGCGTCTCTCATAATCATATGGTGGTTTTGGGACAGAAAACCCCACATATCAATCAATCAGCCACCTAATAGAGCAAGACAACACAACACCTTTATGCCATATAGCTGACCTTTACAGACATGCTCTAGCAGAAAGGAAGAGGGAGGGTTTGAACACAAGATGTGAGATGAGAGCCAGGTGTTAAGACCACTTCAAAAAGTAGCAAGGAGAGAGGCAGGGTGTTGTGTGTAATCGGGTGCTGGAGGAAATCATTGGGCACTTGGTCCAAGCTTTGAAATTACAACTAAGCCTAGGCTGAGCTCAATGCTGCAGATCGAATTCCAGCCACTGTGGTCATATTTTGATGAGTTCAGTGAATAAAAGGCTCATATGTTTAATTTAGGTGCATATTAAAGAACACCAGGAGGTCAAAACTAATCCAGAGTCCAGCATTACCAAATGATTTAAAAACAGCATGGTTTTGCCACATTGAAAACACTAGAGTTCTTTTTCTTCGAATTCTTCATGAGAAGAAAAACTGAAATTGGTTTGCGGAAAGGCCACAACAGATAATTTCTAATGACACTCTCAGGCTCGCCAGTATTATTCTTTGTGTTACAGAGTCAAAGACATTGACTACACTTACAAAACATTAAGTTGAGTATGTTGTGTTAGTACTGCATTAAGGCACTCTTTTCATATTTTTTATCTGTATCATGACGCATTGGGTAAGATGCGTATCAGCACCTGTACTTCTGCAGTTCAGGTATTGAGTACTACTTCATTTACAGTCATAAAGACTCCAGGGTCAATGAAAGCTAGCAAATAAAATAACTAAATTTTTTTTTCATAACAGTTTCATTTTTTCTGGCTGATATTTCTAACAGCCAGACACAATAAGGGAGATGAACAACTTGCAAATATAAAGCCAATACAAACAGTGCACTTCTAATATTGACCAATTGTGGTGTACATGTCATGAACATTAATGCAAGCCTATCATGACATTGTTGTTATAGTTTTCTTACTGCCATGAAAAGATAAAATGCATATACAGTTTAACCCCTTTATAAGAGACAAGCACAGGGAAGCAGTTCTTGTCTTTTATATGGGGTGTCTCTTATAAGCAGGGTGCCACCGTGCAGTTTCTTATCAACCACTTTTTGGATGTAGGCACACTGTTGTCACTTATGCCTAAATGTCTCTCACATCAGTGTGTCTTATAAAGTGATATTACTGTAATACAGCTTATTATTTGAAAATGTAGCAGTTATATAACCCTAAAACACCTGCCAAGCTATTCATGATGCAATCAAAAGCTTGATCAGGGACAAAGTTCTAAACTTTTAGAAAGAAACTAAGGTTAGAAACGAACTAACGTTTTTGTTTTCCTACGTTTTCATTCAGACCAAATGACCAGACATCTGGTCAGACTGGTTTTCATTCAGACCAGACATCTGGTCTGAATGAAGACCAGATATCTGGTCTGAATGAAAACGTAGGAAAACTTAGTTGCCCATCTGTGTAACCTGTATCACCCTGTCCATCTTTTTTCAACCTTGCTCAGCAAGTCGCACTACATTGTCTGTATCCGTTGATTACGTAGCAGCTTTGTAACGTCTTTGTCATTTTTATTAGTATTTTATAGTTTTTTTCTTTTTTTCTCTTGCTTTTACCGGTCGGACTACTCTTCATGTTATGTGCTTTATCTTTTATTGCGTTTCATCTTTCATTTGTAAACAACGTGCTCGCGCATGGAAGCAATATCTTCTTACTCGTAGATTAGGTGTTCTTCATATTGTGTGACTTGCATATATATATATATGCCCATATATCGCCTTTCATGCCGGTTTTCACATTTGTATCTTACTGATATGCACATGTATATAAACAGCACTCGTGCCATAAACTGTATTCTGATGAAGGCCGGACCCACGGCCGAAACGTCAATAAAATAACTTCGTACGTGCGTCTTCTTTCCTATACGAATATATATATATATATATATATATATATATATATATATATATATAATATGCTCCATGAGAGGGGTTGTCGTAAGGGCCTGGGTTCTACCCGTGCAAAAAAATTCAAGGCTACTCCATTCTATATATGTGAGTCTACAATATCCATTTTTAGCAGATAACGAAGTGCTATAAATATTTCTTTTTGTCATGTTTTCTGCAGGCACAAAATTTCACTCTGCAATTTTATTATGAACAAGAAAAACACACTGCCCTAGCATTTGATTTCAGTTATCCTTTAGTACACTCCCTCAACATAAAGTGTAAAGGACTAAAGGCAGCAGTCGCATTTCTAACAAATAATGAAAGGATATGCACCAACTGTTCCCCCCTGCATGCAACCTGTATTTATGTTGACTCAGAGGCTGGGCCCAAGCTAGTTGGTACAGTGACATTATGAAACTGGCAAGCGCGTGAAGATGGAAACAAGAAGACAACACACAGAACACTCCGTGTGTTGTCTTCTTGTTCCCGTCTTCGTGCACCTACCAGTTTCATAATGTATTTAGCATGACATTAACAGTTGAGGTTAATAAACGAAACAGCTCTGCAAAGCAGTTTCACAGGCATTCATTTAAGAACAGAACATGCACTTACAACATCATTATCGTTGACAACCATGTTAAGACCAGGGATGGCAGAGTTCTCTGGTGTATCCTCAGATATGATGATACTAAAGTTGTGGCTGTTGAACTCAGGCACATGATCATCAGTATCTGTGATGACAATGTTGACATCTGAGATAGCCACTCCACCCTTTGGTACACCATCGACCATCTCGACTGCCTGCAAAACAAACATTTTTAAAAGGAAATATAGCATTGCTTGGTTAAAAGGAAATATAACATTGCTAGGTCTTTGCAACAAAATTTACTGAAGTCCTAATCTCTTTGCATGTGTACAATGTTTTTTTCTGAAATTGCAAAACAAAATGAGAATCAAACAAGCAAACCATACTAAAACAGCAATTATAGATATACCACTCAGAGCATTCGTTTACAAAGTGTAGATAGCATACTAAAGCAGTAATTAAGTATTACCTGTAATTTAAAGCTGTAGAGTCCACCACTTTTCTCAATGTCGGCATCTTCACGGTCGATTGTAACATCAGAAGTCTCCACTACAACATGGTGAATACCATTGTCATCAACGTCCACTTTCCCTAATCTGAAGTATCCCTTGGTGTCTAGGGGGTACCAAGAAAGGCAGCACTTAAAATATACATCTGGTAATGCTTGCGATACATGTGAATATCCAACCACAAGTTCTTTTAAGAACATATTGAAGAAGTGAAAAAAATGTTTCTTGAAGAAATGTCATTTGCAATTATAATTGTATGAAAGTACACACAGCAAATTTTTATGTTTGGTATCAAGAGCAGTACAGAAAATTCTCAAACTCTCAAGCACAGTACAGAAAATAAGTTGCTGTGGGCAATAATACGACACCATCACAAATGATCTCAAGCAGGAGCATGCATAACCAATGCTTGTTTTGTGTGTTTCTGCTCACCATCATGTCAAAGAACAATCAATATGAAAAAGTAGGGGACCCAAAAGCTTCGCCTTTAGGAGTTGAATGCGATAGCGACATCCTGTTCCTAGTGCGTCCTTCAAAGACTTAGTGCATGAAACCTTTTCTAATTTGCTATGCACCCACTACGTGGCTTTAAGGGAATAGGCAAAGTAGCATGTGTGCCTTTCATAGTGGGGTACTGGCTTTCGACCAGAGCCATTATGATAATCACATATTTTGATACCAGTTGGCAACGAACGCAGGCACCACGCATTATTACTACAATGTTTCATGTTGCATTGTGAAGTATGTACACAGGATGCATGTGATTATGAAGCATGAAAGCTACTTTGACTGCATTTCCAAACAAAGGAAAATCTTTTCACTGTTTTCAGAGGCTGAGGCGCGGCGGCACGGTAAAAACATTCGCTTGCCATGTAACGACCCAGGTTTGATCCCTCCTTGGGCCCCAAAGCCCTGGTTCGTCCCCAGTCTGCTCCAGAATTTTTAATCATTTATTTTTTTTTTTGCATCATTCTCGATTTTTTGGTCACGCATAAGATGATTTTTCACTCACAATCAACGATGCCGACGTGAAAATTTCTGCGAAATGAGCTCTTTAACGCAATTGCTTTAAAAAGTCATTACTTCAGTAGCATGGTCAGGAAAGGGGAGGTGGCTGTTGACACGTTCTACATTTAAAAATTTGGGGGTGGGGGATGGGCAGATATACCATTTAAGTGGAACCTAACACATTTTTAGGCTTCACCTGAAAGGCAGTATTATCAACAACACTCCAACGATAAATAAAAATAAGGTGCCCTTGCATGTATTTCCATAAACATTAAATGTGTCTGATGCTTCAGCTTAGTGCACCACGCATCTATCTCCATTTATGCAAGTCTATTATGGAAGGGGTTCCATGCAAAAGACCTAAATAAATGGCATTACGATCTGGAACCTACAATGACAGCTTAATTGCAAAGACGGTAAAAACTCTGTACAAAGCAAAATGCAATTTACAAATACACGCACACAAACACACACATGAGCTGCCCCCCAAATAAAGCTTGAGCACACTGAATTACCAAATCACAACTATACAGACAGTGATAGTGCCTTACATCTATTATAAGGCTTTCTTCTCAGACAGATGAGCTTGACAAAAAATAATGCTAAATACTTATTCATTTGATAGAACCAAGACCTGCTAAACATTATACCCCAGTAAAATTCATGTGTTCTACATAAACGTGGAGCGTGGTTCGAATCAAAACTAGGTAACATGGTCACTGCCTTAACTTGAAAAAGCGTTTCAGGTCCCCTTTAAGCAATGCGAACTTGACATTATGCTTCAAGAGGAAGTTTTCTGATTAATTATTAGTTTCACAGTGATAAAAATCAATCTGAAGTTTCTTGGATAACTTAACAGCCATTATACATGGCTTCATTAAACAAATATAACCAAAAATATTACATAACATTACAACAAGCCATTCAAAGTACCACCCTAACTCCCTGCATGCTTCAGACATGCCAGCTTAATCTACACTGGCAGTCTGATGCATGCAAAGCATGCAAAGACAGCTTGCATAATGTTGGAAGGTGACCATAGTCACAACAGCAGCTAAAAGCCGCATGTTGCAATTTTCAGAAACTCCCATTTTAAAGACCAATAAGGTCATGAAGATCAGTCTTTAAAGTGGAATATAAAGTCATTTCCATTTGAAACAAACAAACCAAAGAAACACTGAAATTTGCGGAGCTTGTAAAATTACATTGTGACTACCACAAAAGAAAAACTAGAGATAAACATACCATTAATCAACTTGAAAGACAAAAGCCTCCTAAAACCAGCATCTGCATCATGGGCTGAGGCCAAGAGAACTGATGTGCCCTGCCATGAGAAAGCACAAGATTTAGTGAGTGTCCAGCTCTCTTGCACTCTATTTCCCTGCAGTTTCAAGAGACATTTTGTCATGTGTTCATCATTAAATGATAGCATTTATTGCTGAGCACATGACATAATGGCTCTTGTAACTGTGAACACATGACATAATGTGCTAAACAATAAATGCTGTCATTATTGCTGATTTTTGTTTACTGAACCAGCTGAACCATGTTTTATTTACATTTAACCTTTTTTACTCCCTGAAATAAACAAAATTTCCTGCAAAGTGTTTTTTGCATGCAGATACCATGAAAAAAAATTTGGGCATTATCAAGTTTAGCTAAGATAGTGAATTCATAGAGCAACATCATTACACATTACTAAATCTGTTGTTGAGGTGTTTGAGAACTTTGTAAGATTCACATAACAGAATGAAAGTTTTTCCAGCCCAGGCAAAGTTTTGATAATGACATATACCAACTGCTGTAAAGGAATACAAACTACATATATTGCCACCAGTTATATGTTACAATTATTACGCTATAAGTCTTAGTAGCACATAACACTAAAGGATTTCACTGTTTTCCAGATAGTAGCAAATATAGAGTCGAGTGAGTAAATAACCTTGCTAGCATAGACAGCAAGACTTAACAGCCGGTTCTTTCCACTGTTACGTAATTGAAACAGAGTTGTTTTCGCAGAATACAGCTTCTTTACCAAGTTAGGAAATGTATTTTACCTCGGGGCTATTTTCAGCGACGGTTACAGAGTATGAATCAGCCACAAACACTGGTGGCTGGTCCTGAACATCATTGACTTTGATAATAACATCAGCTGTGGAATTCATTCGATTTTCCGTGCCGAGGTCCTGCAAATGAAAAAAAATCTTACTTTACTGAACTTCACGACTTCCAACATCACTGTTAGATCATTTGTTTTTATGTGAAACTACTGACATTTGCAAGTAGGCTCATAACGTAGGTTGTCTGGTCTTCGTAGTCGAGGAGTTTCTTCAATATTATTTCTTGAAGAAACCGTCCCATCCCAAGACGAACTTGATTCAAACCAAATAGATCACACGTCACTGGTGTCTGGAAATAAAGAGATGGTGCACAATGATAAAAAATATTAGCTTTAGTTGAATACATCTTAATGAAGAAAAAGAAAACTGGTTGATGATGTGACACCAATACGAAACTAAATGTTCAAAAGCCTGGGTGATGAGGCCTAGATATGAGCACAACAGCCACTTGACACTGCAAAATAAAAAGGAGTCGCTTCTTTTTGTAACACTTAATACAAGCAAGCTGAGGGCTCACATCACAGTGGTGTTGTAGAAATGTATTTCTATGGAAGTGTGGCCTGGGAACATTTGACTGGGACTGTACTTTATACATTTCGTATCAAAGATATGACAAAAATTCAGCAAGGGAAAACAGTGAAGTGCTATTGCTTACCAAGTGCTTCTGGCATGAAACCTCAACATCAGCATTGATTCCCAAGTCAGCATCTGTCACGATTATATTTCGGTAAACTGTTGTTCCAACTTGAGTATCCTGTTAAAAAAAACAGTCGTATGCTCCCATGTAAGTATGCCCATTAAGCAAATGAATTGGGCATTTAAATATAACAAGTGATAGACTGAGTATTTTACCTCATCAACATGAAATGTATAAGGCCCATTTTCAAATATCGGAGGGTTGTCATTGAAGTCAAGAACGCTTATCTCTCTTTGTAGTGAAACCTGCAATTTCCATAATGATAGTGCCAGTAATGAAAGTGCCATCGGTGTCACTTTTTCACCAACAAAAACTACCTACAAATTGAAGTCCCACTTCTGTTGGTGCTGCACTTACCGTGTTGGCCTTCTGGCCTTGTATCTTTTCATCAGTGATGCTTATAATGACATCGACAGTACTTTCCTCTTCTCTGTCCAGTGGCCTTGTAAGCCGCACAACCCCTGTATCTTTATTTACACTAAAGGTTCCTCCACTGATATAGTAGGAAACTTTTGTGTGTTCAGGATCTATGGCCCTCAGCGTATAGACAGATGCACCTGAAACAGCAATGCTGCATTATTCTTAGTCCGAAGGAATTTTGATGACAAGTGATTAAAGTGATAACACTAAAAGGGGCCTACCGACTGCAGTGTCCTCACGCAATGAAAACTTTTCCATGTTTCCACCGACTAGAAATTCTGGGGGGGCATTCGCCTGACCTTGGCACTTGCCTGGAAACGTTTTGACATTCAAAATTATTGTCATGTAATGGTACACCGTAGTAACTACAGCTACTCTTTACTGTTCCTCGAGTGAAGGTGTGCTTACCTATTAACAGAATTATGGTCAACCACCTCCATATCAGATGAGGGACAAATATCAGTTCTTCAGTCATGCTGTCGTTACAAAGCTGTCCAACTGCTATGTCCTTTCATTCGAACCATCACCTCATCTGAAACGACATTTTTGCATGTGCGCTCTGTATTGTAGGGAATATGTGACGTAAGAACATATATACTCATACATTATTATTGTCACTCGAAGAAATGCTGCGGCGAAGCGCACTACCACGAGAAGCTAGGCCGCATTCCGCAACCCGCATTTCTTGCTGCCCAGAGCGTTGCGGCAAAGAAGCCAAGGTTACATAGGCGCACGTATATTTTTACGTGTTAGCTCTCTCTTTCCTTACGGCGCTCCGCAAAACCGGTCATTTAAACCTTGCAATCCGCAGCGCCGGGATTATTTTGTCCTGTTGTTTGTATGTGTATTTGATTGTCCAATTCTACAAAAGCAAACGCTTAGAAAATACAAGCACATACACATGCACAGAGCATCTGGTACGGCTGTCACACAATGCATTTTTGATCGCGATCAAATTCATTGACAGCGACAGAATAAGTCCCGCTGCACGAATTTGGTCCCAATCGGGTCAAAAGGTCAACATAAAATTATTTTTCGGACAAGACAAAAGCGTCATTGCCTTTTTTCGGAATGCGAATATGATGAAGGCGTAGCTAAAAACACAGCACATCAGTTTTTGCGGCATATTTGAAAGTGGCGTGGTGAGAATAAAATGCAAGCTCATTTTTCACGAAGAACACTTACATCAGTCGGCACTTCCTTACGCCATCGAATAATTCAGTGATGAGTGAGAACGATGGAATATCCAGCAGCAGCGATGCAAGTAACCACACGCATTCACTGACCAGCACAACCACCGACGAGCAGGACCAGCATAACGCACAGGGATCCGGCCGTGCTCAAGGCGCTGCCATTCTTGAAAACATGCCCTTCACTGTGACCGGTTGAGAAAGCGTACGGCGAGCAGCTGAGACTTGCAAGCACCGGCGATCGATGAATGCGGCGCGGTAAACACCTTCTTGGACTTGGCGGCGACGTCCTCAACGCAGCTTGATGCGCCGAACGGGCGAAGTATACTGTTGCTTTTCCGCCCTTCTCACCTGTTGGTCCCCTTCCTTCCACCAAGTGTAAGGTGAACGCGGAAACTGCGTCGCTGCTCGGAACAACCTATGCGCCGCGCTCTGCAGAAAGGCGGCAGTTCCCAAGGCTTCCATTCGCCGCCAGTCAACGTACTAAACCGGTTTTCCGCCTCCATGTCTTGACCCACACTGGGAATGAACCGGTGAGAGGGAAGGCGGAGAGGGTTCCGGGGGCCCCGGTTGAGCCTGGAATTCTTTGGCTTCCCCACTCAGGCGCCGCCGGCTTCCTCGCGACGATTACGTCAGCGGCCAACAGCGGACGGCTGCTACAGTAGCGGACGCCGTGGGCGCACGAACCGTTCGCTTGCTGCTAGTAGTCCACTTGGTAAATGTCAGAAGTGCAGCCGATGTGCGGAGGTCGGAGCATTTGTGGCTAGCCACTACGCAACCACTGTAAATACAGTGCGAAAACGAAACTCAAATACACAGGAGGGTAGGACAAGAACTAGCGCTTGTTTTTGTCCTGACCTTCCTGTGCGCCGGCGTCTCCGTTCTAGCGCTGTATTTACTATGGATTCATACCAACCGTCCTAACTTAATACACGACAACTTGGCGTAGCTTTTGCGTGGTCTCGATCGTGATTGGGCGTGCTTAAGCGATCGCGATTCGACATGCTGACGAAGTCTGATGTATGTGTGTGTTTTTTTTTTTTTTTTTTGCATTTCAAATTATGCTGTGTGAGAATCAACCAAGCCGACGCTATTCAACACGACACGGCGAATGACGTATGAAAGATACATGCTGTAGCCGTACATATAACTTTATTTTAAAAAAAAATGGTAGGAGTTATGATTTCAAATATGCGTATATTTCAACTTTTCCAGTAACTCTATGGGCCGTATTAGCACTTGAACTCATAACCTTACGGTTTGAAAAAAAAAATCACAGCTTATCCACGGAATGAATGATGATGAGTGGGGCGAAGCTTCGAAGGGTTTTATCGCTAAACCGTGAATAGTCCGTCTGTCTGCCCGTCCATTCGTCCGTCCACAGCTGCTGAGTGAGTCATCGAACTAGGCGGTCACGTACGAGCTAGGAGGGACAGGACCCATGGCTTTAGGAGCTTCTCCCCTAACAGAGACAACAACCTCCCGCATCTAAAAACGAAAAATGACATACGGTCATCCTATGACTGCTCTTTACACATGGGCATCAAGAGAGGAAAGCAGACGCTCGGGCTTTTATTTACAACGTTTGCGTCTAACTTATTCGAGTCTATCTCACGCTGACGCATTTTAGCTACTCCAGAGGCCTTCAAAGACTTCTCAAAAACTATAAACACATAAATAATCGATTGGACCTGAAAAAGCCACGTCAAAACAATAAATACCACCCACTCTAGTGCTTAAATTAATAAACGACCTAATAAAGTTGTATGAACATGTAGGAATGAGTGCCTTGAGCCACGCGAGCTTAGTGAATAAAAGGAATACCTTTGTGTAACAACAAATCTGATGACATGTAACTACCTACAAAGGCCCTGCACGGTGCCCGATGCATGTCGTCGCTTCGCTGCTCAGCAAGATTCTGTCATTTGCGTGAAGCTCAATATTTATACCGGGCTCAAACAAGGGTTACAATAAAAGGGCAATGAAATACATTAAACACCCCCTATGGGTACGCCTGTGACAACAAATGTTGGTTGAGCCAACGCTTCGACGACATCTCCTCATCTTTAAACGTTGTGTTAAGCGACAAAGCTGTTCAACAATTTAGTTGGTTGTTGGTCCGTGTGCTTTAACGTCCCAAAGCGACTCAGGGTATGCAACATGGGTCTGCAAAGAGCTTCCTCAGAATCACTCAACATACCTATTGTTCGCTTGGGACTCAAACTCACCAAAGTTTTGCTGAGGTGTGTTCACTTGGGCTCAGACTCACGAAACTTTTTCGTCAAGCGAACTCACTCGGACTGTGACGTGACAAGAACTTTATTCAATGGTCCTGAGGAAAATGATGAAGGGCTCTCCACCAAGTCGGTGGCTCCACCCAAGACGGAACCGGGAGGCGGTGACTCTTGGCGACGGCCCGGGCCCTCTGGATTCCCTGTAGTTGAAGAGCGATGTCTGAACTGTGAAGAACTTCGTTCCACGTCATCTGATTGCGCAGACCGGAGCCCGCATTGAATGGGTACAGCCAGAGCATATAATCCAGAGAGCAGGACTCGTGCTCGCATTTACAGCAGGACTGCGGAAAGTCGGGATGAATATGAATAAGTGCTCTCGGAACCTGAACAGACTCAAACTCATTAATATTGTAACGGACTAGTAAAAGGCAGAGAATAGAAGGAGAGGAAGACGAAGGGTCTTGGAAGCGCACTGCGATCGTGCCAAGACTCTTCGTCTTCCTCTCCTTCTCTTCTCTGCCTTTTACTAGTCCGTTACATTTTTGTCATCCGGATTCAGCCAGACTCAGGCTAACCAAAATTTTCCTCAAGTGGGCTCATGGAGAATCACGGCTCAATCTGAGTCTCGGTGAGTCTGACTGAGTCCACTCATGAGTGAGCTTGCCGACATATGTATGAGAGACGCCGTCATTTTGACCCCCTGGCTTTCTTAAACGTGCATTGATATCGCATGAAACACGGACCGATGGAGCCATTTAGGTGGAAGTATGGAGGCAGTTCGATGGAGGAGTTTCGTCTCCATCCAGGGGTGTATCCAAGGAATGGCACACCAGGCCCGTGCCTCCCCTCCCCAAATTTTTTTTCAACATAGCATAGAGAGGAAAAATGACCATTTCAAAAGTGTGCTCACCTCCTCCCCCCCCTCCACTAGAAAAAAAATTCTGGCTACGCCCCTGCCTCCATCGAACTGCCACAGCACGGCCAAGATCGAACCCGAGTCATCCGGATCAGCACCGTGATCACGGCGGCGCGCACAGTGCATCTACTGTTGACCGAATATGAAACTTTTTCTTTTTTTCTTTTTTTCTCTTTTTTTAAGGGGGGGGGGGGAAGCGCACCACTGTTCTAATTCTTCGTCGTCCATGCAGTTCTTTATAAATTCGGCTCCATATACCCAACTCAGCCAGTTAACATACGGCATTGCGCTGCTGTATCCCAGGTCCCGCGTTAAATACTGGCCGAGGCGGAATACAAATAACAACCACATCCTTCGGTTTATTTGACCGTTAAAGAGCCATCCCTGCCTTTCTTTTATCCTTATTATCCTCTTTTTCCTCCTCATAAAGAACCCTATAGGGGCTAGGAGGTCCAAAATATTCTGCAGCCCCTACCTCGTGCCTCACATTCACATTGTCGTTTCGGCGCGTAAAACTTCACTTTATATATGCTTGAGGCTAAGGTTTCTCCGTGTATTTTGCCCTCATATTTAATTTTATTATTCACTGCACTCATAATTTTTATTATACAAACTTTACAGAAATGGGGACCAATTAAGGATTGATTGATATGTGGGGTTTCGCGTCCCAAAACCACCATATGATTATGAGAGACACCGTAGTGGAGGGCTCCGGAAATTTTTACCCCCTGGGGTTCTTTAACGTGCGCCCAAATCTGAGCACACGGGCCTACAACGTTTCCGCCTCCATCGGAAACGCAGCCGCCGCAGCCGGGATTTGATCCCGCGACGTGCGGGTCAGCAGCCGAGTACCTTAGCCACTAGACCACCGCGGGGACCAATTAAGGAAGCAATGCATCAAGAACTATCACCTCTTCCCTTATGTTCCTGTTATTATTGGTTTGAGTAAACTCTAATTGGTATAATAAAGCATAAACAAAATTGAAATGAGAGGAATAACAACAAATACGTTTTTCTGTCCGTTATTAGTGTGAGAGCTGCCAGATAAAGAAAACGGGTACGTATATGTGTGGCAACTTCCATATAGAATTGAAGTTGCAATTTTGATGAATGCAGTATGCCGCTCATTGTACTACATTTAACTGATAGAACCAGAACCCTCTACAGATAGAACTACATATCAATTTCTTTCCTGATCAACTTTCGTTCTCATTGGAATCATCATTTGTACTGTCTCTCGAAGCATATAATTTCCCCTGTGCTTTCCTTGACTTCATATATTCAAATCTACGCGATTTGAGAAAATAGAGCTCCTTGGTTCACCTTATACAGCTTTGAAGAAGAAAGAGAGCATGAATGTATATACCATAACTGCTATTCAAAGCACAACATGGCTGTAATTAGGCGCGTAGCCAGAAATTTTTTCGGGGGGAGGTGTGTCCAACCATACTTTATGTATATTCAGGGTGCCCCAGCCATGATTAGCCAGAGTTATGTCAGAAGAAATATGTTAACACACGCAATGACGGCGTGAATAAATGCATGTTGCTGACTGTTGCCTGGAGTGAGTCAGGCTATTATTTGTGTTGTGATTAATTGCCTAATTAGGCCACATTTATTAACAAACTTTTTGTAACAAAGATAGGCCGGACATTCCAATGAGAAAGTTATTCATCGGTTTAAACATCTGTTTAGACAGTTCCGAGCTTTATATATGTTAATTTTAATGTTTTCATCAAATGCCCGCGAAGTGCAAAAAAAAAATACTACGTGACAAGCCCGCTCGCGCACCAGTGCACACGATGATTCTAGTGCTCCCTGTACGTTCCACATAGTTCCGCGTACGAACGACCTGATTTGCCCGACTGTGCTGTCTCGACAGGGCCGCAACGATGGTGCATGGTGGCTGTGCGATGAACGTGTTTCGCTATCGGTCGCAAAAGCAATAACCACTGTGGCTGCTTACCAGTGTGATGAACCGGTGCGAAGGAAGCGTATCGTTCATATACGCGGAACGTTAGGAAGCACCAGAATGACGGCGCGTGTAGGCGCGCCAGTGGGTTTGTCACGTGTTGTTTTTGTGTGTGGGAATTTGTAGTTAGCAGAACAACACCAATAAGTAACAGATACAAAGTTCGAAACTGTCTAATCGGACGTTTTGCAGACCGATCTACAACTTTCTCATTGAAATTTTTTACCCATCTTCGTTCCTTCAGAAGTTAGTTATAGTTAAAAGGTCTAAATAAACGATTGATCAAAG